GCCAAACAGAAAGTCCGTTGTTTGCAGCGTCCGTTATTCGAGGCGTACGTTATACAAGGCACCACTGTATATTAAAAAGTGAAACATTATGTATATTGATTTCTAATGCAGTCGAAATTTATATTTATTGAAGTTCTGTTCATTCAATAATATAGCTAGTTATGTCAAACTTTTGTGTGCTATTGTTGAACGTAAATAATTTTTAATCTAATTTTGAGAATGATTGTTTCCCACTAACAATGGACACAGGAAGGATTAAAAGAATTCTCAATAATATAAAAACATTTAGAAATTTTCAATTAAATTATTTTTGTCAATATAATTTAAAACTATTAATTGATGATATTTTCTTTTTTAATTAAAATATTTCTAACAATTAAAAGTTGATGAATAAATTGAATGACTCCATATCAGAGTTGCTATCAATTTTCAATTCTGTATGTACGTACTGACAATTTTTCTAAAAATAACTTCAGAATCATTATTGGCTAACAGTGGAATATCATGTAAAATCTCAAGTAATATATCATAATTTTGATTCAAGTGATCTGTTAAAAGGAGATTCTACTGCAAAATTAAATTAATATTTATTAATTAATTTAGAACAGCGATTCCCAACCCATGGTATGTAATAGGTTGTTTAGGGGGTACAGAAAAAGTTAGTTATTATGGCAGAAAAAATAATATGTTACGTATCACAAATTAATAGTATTAAAAAATTATTAGGAAAAAGTGTTCTTTGCAACAATCACAAACTTTATTATACATTTCAAAATGCAAAAATAGAAATAAAAACTTATGCTGTCGATTGTACAGTGCAGCAGATAAATAAATGTTGCGCAGTCGGTCAATGGTAGTGGGGATACCATTATGTGTGATTAGTGATTATGCTACAGACTTTTGACGGTGGGGTGTGTTACCATTATTATTATTATCTCTCAACAATATCCCCACGTGTTGTTTGAAAAAAGTATTTTTTTGTTTATAAAAAGTATTTTTTATTGTTAACAAGGAAAAAGACCTAGCTAGTTTCTCCAGATTTTCTCTATAAGCTGTAATTTTTTAAATTTTTTATTCAGTATTTTTATTAATTTTTTATTGACAAGACTATGTCTTGTTTATAAAATCGTACTGTCTGCTATGTTACCAGCTTAGAGTACTGTACATGTCAAAAGTTGCAATTTGGCACAAAGTATTAGGTGCCCAAATCATGCACGTATAAAAAAACCAGACTTGTAGGTACTCGGGACCAAGAACTGAGTCAAAATAAAATTTAAAATGGTGACACTCTCTACAAACAGGAGGATTTGCACATGCGTTGCTCGTTGGGAAGTTGGAAATTCCATTGGGGTACGCTAATGAAAAATGGTTGGGAACCACTGATTTAGAAGATTCTGGAAGAAAAGCAGAAAAACTGGTCATGACTAATCATGGTTATATCTAAATCAATAGTTCTGGAAGTGAAGATTGGATGGAAGTCTGGATAGTGTAACTGGTAACATATCTGCATGGTGTGTGACAGTTGTGAGTTTGAGTCCCACTCTGGGCCAATTCTGTTCTTCCAGAACCTTCTAAATTAATTAATAAATATTAATTTAATGTAATTATATAATAATAAATTATATATAATTATATAATATTTAATATAAGCATATATAATAAGACTAATATGCTTAGGGTACTGGGGTATATAAAGTTTCTTTGAGAGAGGACTGATTTTGCTAAGAACTTCAATATATTGGTTCCATCACAAGGTCATTCAAAATAAGACTAGCCAATCACAAACATGACATTGACAAGAAGAAACAAAACACTACCCTAGCCATGTATGCAATGGATAACAATGTGCATGCCTTCTTCAACAAGGCTACGTTGTCAAGAGATCAAAACACTCCAATTCCATCAAGATACTAGAAGCATTGGAAGTATTTAAATCTGACAAAAAGGGCCACTACATAAATTTCAAAGACAAAAAACAACTATCATATGCATGGCAGTCCTTATATGATCATGTGACCAACTATGATGTAACAACATGAAGTAGGGATAGTATAATGAAAAGTTCTCGGTTATATTTATATAATCTTTAAGTGTTTACTTTTTACTTATATATTGTTTGGTACTGTACCTCTATTTACTTTTATATTTACTGTTACTTCTATTTTTATGTATTTTAAGAGTTTATTTTGTTTAATTTTTCAAAAAAGTCATTTTTCTATGTAATCATTCCGTCATTGAATATATAGACCTGAAGAACTCCAATTTCAGATAAAAAATTTGTCGACTAACAAAAGTACTTTAACAAATGCACGTATCTATAAGCCTTTTACTGGTGCGTGTTTCATCACACTAAACAATAAAGTTACAAACGTTTTTGAACTATTACGGTTCTTCTTCAGGTAATGATCCCCTAACAGAATGTGCTTCGATTCAAAGTTGTTAAGAAATACGATCCGGAACGATGACCCAACCCAATGACATCAATATGGACTTGCACGCTACGCTTGTGTATTATCGTAGAGATTTATCTAGTAGGGTCTGCCAGGCCATAGATAGAGCGATTTCATCTTTATAGTTAATGCAATTACACTCTTTAATTGTATTTAGGCATATGTAGATTGCTTCCAGCCATCTGAGATGGTTCATTAACTATAATTGCATTGTCTCGGTTTCCTCAGTTCAGATAGATACTCAAAGTCCCGAAATTCCATAGGTGGTTATCTATATAATAATTTCCCTAATTGTATTAATATTTTAAACCGTTTGACTTTTTGTATGTTTTTTAATTGGTTGATGATTGATTCTATCAACTAATTTGTTGCTTGTTTGATTGTATTAACTTGATTCTTTACATATCGAAAATTAAATAAAGAACAATATGTTAATTTAAGCGTACAGAAACGTTGCTATTGTTCCAGCAAAAATCTTATTTTCACTTTACCGAGTGCCTAGTAGGTAATTTGCAGATTACCTAGATAATCTGCATACTACCTAGGTAATTTGAGAAATAGAACAATTTTAGCAACTTTAACAGATCACCCTAGTTAATCTGCAGATTAGCTAGGTAATGTACACATTAACGACTTTCGAGCTTTAGCGGTAACATATATATTAAAAACTTAAAGACTTAATATGTGACTATTTTTTACTGAAATTACTAGTAAAATATATCAAATTACTGGTATATTTACTGATACATTTTTTTTAAAATGATTAATGGTAAACAGTTGTCTGATAAGATAATTCTTACTGTTTACTAATAAATATAATGGCTTTTAATAAATATAATTGTTATGTTGTGCTTTTGCATAATATATCTTTGTTTCTAGTAGAAAATTTATTAATAATACACTTTACATTTAAGCTTCTTAAATAACATTATATTAAAAAGATTAAAATATTCTGATATTTTAGTAACAGCCCTAATGAATCAAATCCAGTTCATGTGGAAATTACTCCTTCTCAGCCTCAATACTTCGAATATCAGTTTCCTCCTAATGTTGATGTTGTTCTTGTTCATGTCACATCTGATGATGATCAGTGTATGGTGGTTTCAGTACAGGATATTAAAGTAAGTATTTTTTAAAATTTTACTTAAATTTAATGCAGCTTGCTTATATATATATATACACATACATACATTTTTTTCATTGTAATAAATTGAGTTAATATGATGATTACAATTATTTGAAGATCATATTAATAGTAATATTTAAAATCCAGATTTATGTTATAAAAACCCATCAAATATATGTATGCACAGTATATATGTTATGAAAATCTTAAAATATGTAGAAAAGCCTGATATGTGTTTTGGAAAATAATTTTTTTTTTTTCATTTTTAGTTGGCAATGATTTGTATATTTAGAGTTGGGTTGCCATATGTTTCACAATATAGCTTGAACTTCATGCCAAATATCAGATAAGAGGAAGTAAAAAAACACTGAGTGCATCATTAATAGTTTTTTTATTTTCACTAGTATTTTCAACAAACTTATGGTCATCATCATCAGGCAAACAAAAATTTAAAAATAGAATACGATGTTCTAATGTAAGTGGAACACATTTTATTTAAATTAAAAATTATTATGAGCATGCTATAAAGTTCAATTATGCTAGATCTAACATCATGCACCATATGCAAACCCATGTTAAAGGTGTAATAGCTGTTATCATCTTCAATGCAAGTTCTTATAAACATTGAGTTAAACACCATCAATTTGGCAATAGGCAGAGCTGGTTTTTCATGTCGTAAGTTCACACATGTGCATGACATGGTTAGGGAATCTTTATTTCCAAGCACAACACTATGTAACGAGAGAGAGGTATCAGTAGTACAATCGCCATTACTCTATCTAAGACCCCTTTCCATATGCATTTGTCTTGTATTCAGGCAATATAACTTTCTCCTGTCCCTATCTCTGCTACCAAATTTGTGCAGATTCATCTGCAACAATTGGGATTAATTCTTCACCTTTGAAAAATCAGGAAACTGTGCTTTACCATTGGAAAATCCCATAACAGGGATGAACACAAATATGAGGTGCATTTGGGCCACAATGCTTGCTAGCCATTTAGCCGAGCAGCATAATTGACATGGTGAAAGGAAAATGCATAACAGAACTCACAAAAAAGGTGCTCAAACATAACTACAACCCATTATGGACTAAAACAATGCTACTCAGATTCTGCAACTGGAAACTCGTGTTTATATGGGAATCTCTCCTTACAACAACTTTGGAGCCATACATCATTTCCAAGCTTGACCTGCACAGTGTGTGGGTTGCCCTATACAAATGGTTAAATAGTGGCATATGTTTGCTATCACACCTTTTATGTAGATCTATATCCATGAATGCGCTGCATGATGTTACAACACCTAGTTTAATTGAACTTTGTAACATGTTTATAATGGTTTTTTAATTTAAATAAGATGTGTTTCATTTAAATTAGAACATGTAATTTATTTTTAAATTTTTATTTTCCTAATGATGATGATCAGTTTGTTGAAAGCACTAGTGGAAAAAGCTATTAATGACACACTCAGTCTGATTTTACTTCCTCTCATATGTTCCACATTTTGCTTCTGATTCTGATGTTTTATAGCACACAATATTACCTTTAAGAACTTTGAAAACAATAACTATTATTTGTTTAGGGTTTTCTTGAGAAAACTTTCTGCTCTTTTGCATTTCCATTATCCTTTATTTAGACACAAAAAATTAAAATTTTAATTCTAATTGACCAATTTGACTGACATTTGTAAAAAGAATTTGATGGTTTTGATCACTAGTTGGGTTTGCTGTTCTGCTGTACTACTTTAATTGGAATAATTGCATGCACATTATTTATGAAAAAGTTAATTTTGTTAGTAATCAACTACTGGAATATATTCATTAAAAAGGGAAATAGAAGAAAAAAAGAGAGAAATAATTTAAATTAGTAATAACACTGGGAAAAGAATTGCCTGAGTGAATGAAGGGAGATTAAGTTTTATTTTAATGTTGGAAGAGAACAACCCATTCATCAGAGATTTTTTTTATTAGATGCATTGTACTGTATCTTTTTAGATTGTTAGTTATCACATAAATTATAACAAAGAACTTCAGAACATAGACACCATTAGTGACTAATTACATTTGCTGTGCATTATTTGAAATAACTGTTGTACAGGTAGAAGTACTTATATAATTTTAACAATGTGTTTAGATTAATGACTGTATAATTATTTAAACATTGTATAATTTCAATTTTATGTAATTGATTTTAAAAAACAGGCAAAATTCTGGTGCAGAAGTACTGAAAACTTTGACAGAATAAATTATAATACATATATGGGGTCTGTTCAAAAAATAACCAAACTTTTTGAATTAGGCAAAAATGGAGTGCCCTGGTGTTGTGAAGTTTACAACACTACGTCTGTGATAACCAATTGAGTAAGCTGCTTTTTTGGATTGTTAATATCTCATTTCATTCCCACGTTATTGTTTTTTGAGTGAAAGGTGGTTTTTGCAATGTGTGATTTACAGGAGCAATGATGCAATGTGAAGTTTTCATGAAACAATGTGAAGTTTCTTATAAAACTATATGGAAACAATTCAATTTTTGAATCAAGCTTATGGAGGTGATGCTCCAGGTCATACGCTGTGTTACAAATGGTTACCTGATTCAAAAGTGGTCATCAATTAGTTGAAGACGACCCTTGACCAGGAAAACCTTCAACCTCAACTGATGACACTCACATTCAGAAAATTAGAGTTGTGCACTTTGAATTTCTGCCTTGAGGTCAAACAGTCAACCATCAGTACTATGCAGGTGTTTTGAAACAATTGTGTGAAAAAATTTGCAAAAAGAGACCAGAGTTGTGGCAAGACAACTCATGGTGCCTTTACCATGACAAATGCACCAGCTCACTGAGCCTTGTCAATTTGCCAGTTTTGTGCCAAAAATCACATGACTGTCCTTCCCAACTTCTCAACTTACCAGACCTGGCTCCTTGTGATTTTTTTCTTGTTTCCAAAATTAAAATCAGTGCTGAAAGGATGTCATTTTGACACAATTGATGACATTAAAACAAATTTGTCACAAACATTGAAGGACAGTCTGAAGCAAGCTTACCAGGACTGCTTTGCAAAGTGGAAACATTGCTGGGATAAGTGTGTGAATAGGGGAGGGGAGTACTTTGAAGGGGACAAGGACCAATAATCTGTAACTTGAAGAATAAAAATTAAAAAAATAAAGTTGGTTATTTTTTGAACAGACCTTGTAATAAAAATTCTGCTAACACTTTCTAATTTGGAAAAATTCTCACACTATTCTCTTTTTATAATGAAAATTTACTGAACTAATGTTTTAAATAAATATATGAGTATTTTAATTAGAAATGTAAGAGTCAACAAATTATCAGGTTATTGTTTTTATCAGTAAATTATTATTTTTAATCTAGGTTTCATTGACAGATAAATGATGATAAATATATTTGATATACTGTAATTTTGGTCAGATGTTTTTGAACAAGTGGGTGATGCCCATGGATGCTGAATGAACAAAGTGAAGTATGTCACTATGGAGTTTTTTCTGTGTGACTTCAAAAAAAATTGCGATGTTAGACCAATTTAAAAAAATTTTTTTTATTATTATTAGGTTACTTGATTCAGTTAGATTTGTCGTAATGATTGACTTAATGGACAATTCAGATTTCTTATAATATCTTTAATTTGAAATGTGAAATGCATTTTAATTTTAAATAAAAGATATGATAAGTCTGAATTGTCCATTAAGTCAATTGTTATGACAAATCTAGGTGTAAATGGATCAAGTAACCCATAATGATATCAACAGATTCTACTAGATAGGAAGAAATAACAATAATGTGTTTTTTGTTCTGGAATCTGAAATTTTGATGGAGAAAATCTGAAAGAAAAGTTTGTATTTTGTGATTTGAATGAAAATTTTTTTTCAGTTAGTATATGGAGATGCATTTCAAAATGGATCTGAACTTTGTTTGAGAATCGTCATTCAGATATAAGATCAAATTTTATTAATCCTTTGCATAAAAATAAAGGAAAGAAATGAACTAGTGGTTTGAATGATGCCAAGAGTATGTCAATATCAAAATCATCAGAAAAAATATCTACAGTTTTCCAATTTTTGTTTACATGTAAGGCCAGGAACACACATGCATAAAATCTAGCATAAACAGAAAGCGTAAAAATTTTTCTGAAATTTTGGCTGAAACATAATTGAAAAAAGAGTAGATCATTTCTCTACTTTTTATGCCAAAATTCCTCCAATAAAAAGAAGTCTGTTTTGTGACATCAAAGTAGACTCGTGGTTTTTATTCTAACAATGGCGGCAGTGAGGGTTAACTCTTACAATTGTGACGGTCTCGAAAAAGAGAAAAATTAATGAAATAGAGGAGTTTATCGAATCCATTCGATCACATCAGTGTCTTTAAAAAGTGTCATGTATAAAGACACTGTGTTTAGACAAAGTGTATGGACGCCATAGGTACTAAATTTCAAATAACAGATAGGTCCAGTAGAATCAATATATAATATTTAGATCACACGTTCTTTATTTCAATTTGGAATACAAGTCTATTAATTTAAATTTTCTAAATTATAGCAGAGTCAGTGGAGAAAAAATGGAAGGTACAAAGGGATAAGATATATGAGAGAAAAAAAATTAATAAAATGTAGCACTTAAGTGGCAGTGGTATTCTTGATTGTTAAATTTTAGTTTTGGAATTAACGAATTATTAAATCCATGTAAATCACATTCTCAAAATAGTTTCCTAACCTACCAACATCTCTTTTGGCATTTTATAATAAAATTATTTCTTAAAATCATCAATGATTGAGTGGAATACAACCATCAACAAATAACATCAGATAACGATGGTGCCATTTTACTAAATTACATATGATGATGTTACATTTCTGTTTCCTATTCGGCCAGAATTTTTATGGAAGTATGAGTGTTCTGGCATAAAAGTGTAAAACAGAAACTGAACTAAAAGCTGATTTCTGATTCAGTTTTCTGCCACACAATTTTATGCATGTGTGTTCTTGGCCTTACTCATGCAGACCTTGTTTATAAGTAGAACTTATTATACTGATGTAGTTCTGAATTAGCAAAAAGGAGGAGAACTTTGCCAAAAATAAGACAAAATATCTTTATTTCCATATTTATTATTTAATATGTCCTATTTATAAATGACGACTATGTGGATAATATGTAAACAAAATAATGTTCGTTGTGTACAAAAGTTATTTAAATTCATGTGTGATTTGTGTTCTACCAGTAGAACCTGAGGATGGCCTTTGTAAAGGTTGAAAACGTTTGTTTTTTAATAAATGTTTTTATTCCTCTCACTGAATTTTAGTTTTGGAAGTGCTTTTATATACATAGGTAGGCCATCATTTAGCCATGGAAAGTTATATGTAGTGCTGTTGAGATTCAGATCAAAGGCCAGTATTGGAATTCAAAATGAAAGTGAAATTAAAAAGTATTGTTTGGAAAGAAGATTTTTAAAATTGTTTTATCAAAATTATTATTATTATTGAAATTTTTGATGCAAATAGTCTATTTTGGGAATGAGAGAGTGAAGCTGTTGTGGGAATGGGTAAGTGAAGTGAAGTGATCAGGAACTGGGCTGTCTATGGTGACCAGGAGGTAAAGCTCCTAGTAAATAAATAAAATGATTATATAAAATATTTAAATAATACAAATACATATCTAATGCATAAATAAATATCAATGATTATACAATACATATACACGCTTGTCTAACCTAACTCCTCTCTGTATCATATACCCTTATGTATACATTAATAAATATGCTTTTGGTTTTGGCTTGAACTGCATCTTACTAGATACTTCTATGTCATCAGCAAACAGTTTGCATCCATATAATTTATACATTGGTAATTTCTGGCATGCTGGTAGATGGTTATTTTCTCAATTATTCTTCTTTTCCTTGGATTTCTGACAGTAGAAAAGAGTTTAGCATTCTTAAATTGTGGACATTTGCTGATACTGAGGATAGCACTGCAAACACTATGTTGTATTTTGTGTTTTTAACATCATACTCATGTTTTTTACTCTTTTGGGGAATTGCACACTGTGTACTTCTGTAGTAGCTGTTGCACTTTCATCATCTAACATGATTGGGATTTCATAGACTCTTGTTTAGGTCAATAGAGTCCTTCACAATTTGTAGAATGCCATTTTATGAGATCAGAAAATGGCATTCTACAAATGCCAGACAACAGCTGAAAATGTTAGAACTAATAAACATCATATGCTGTTTAAGATTCTGTGTAATATACTGGAAATTAGTCATAAAATAAAAATGACAAATCTTATTTATTTCTACACTTAGTTTACATAATTGGAATAGTTCATAAACACTAGAAATTGAATTATGGAGTGTGGCATGAAAGCAATGTCATCTTTAGTTTCAATTTTATTAATTATTATTTTTGAATTAAATTTAAGAAATTTTTAATAAAAATTAAATAAAATTATTGAACTTAATTCCTAAATTATTGTAATTATTAGTTTATGTCAGAATGAGATAGTGATCTGTCTGTCTGTCTGTCTTTAGCAAAAATTATTTTATATTAATTCTTGATAGTTAGCCAAACTATAGTCCAAATAATCTGGAAATTAATATGATGATTATAAAATATGTGGACTTTGTTGCTAAAGTATATCTACAATAATTTGTTAACAGAATTGAAACAGAAAAAGCAATATTTTAATGCTTGAGATGCAACTTCTAAACTGCATATCAGTAATTATCTTGCTTTTGATTGCCATACCAGAGGCATGGGTTTATGATAGGATAGGTTAGATGAAGGTTTATTCTCGTTCTTGCAGTTTTCTGTCAGATATATGCTTTCGTGAGTTATAAATTATGCCACCACAGGTTATTCACATAAAATTACAGTACTTTATGTACAGTAAAGTTTCAATAGAAATTATTTTTACATTTTAAGATAAATTTTCTAGAAATAAAATATACTTTCAATTGAAAGAATGTTTACTTTTTTCCTTAGTGTCCAATATTTGATTTAGACCGAAATATAGAATTTCGTGGATTGTATCAAACAATGTCAAGACAAGCAGGTATAACTGTGCAGGTAAGTGTAGTGTTTTAATGATCTTAATCAAATATGAAATGAAATTAAGGAGTTGCAGTGTTTTGGTATTGATGAGCCATTTTTTTTAGATTGAAATTGTGTAGCATGCAGCCTGGTAACAAAAAATGACAAATATTAATTTTTGACTCCTTAATTTTGTTTTTCAAATTTATTAATATATCAAACTAACTTTAAAGGAATTAGGAATTATACATTGAACATTTTTGAAGCTTTTTACTTCCTTTTCAGAATTAGTTTGAAATAATATTATTTTCCATTTACATTTGAATGCAACATGAAATTGGAATGTGTGTTGTAACATTCTGATAAGTAGGAGTTTTTAAAGAATTATAGATTTATAAAAAGAGGTGTTTAGTTTTTTTTTTTAACAGCCAAATCCATAGGTCTATTGCTGGTCCTACCTGCTTTTGATTTACTTTGTTCATGTGGGCAGTAGCAATGTGCATCTTTTTCATTGCTCAAAGTGTCAGCATTTTTTTTCACAAGTGTAAGTTTTTGAGCCTACTCCCATTTAATTTCAGTATTTTTGTTTACTGCTTAATCTGTAAGAATTGTAGTTTATGTAATTTTGATTACCATATATCCATTTAATGTTTTTTGAGATGAGTGTCTAGTGTCCAAAATGTATTGTCTATGTACTTTCTTTTGTGTATTTTGTCTAATGTGTATTTTTTATATCTTGGATTCTTTTGTTGGTGAAATGGAGATAATTTCCAATTTATTATTATAATATTGGCATTACTGGGAGGTATGTATTGTCTAATTATCTGTGCATGTTCTATGATTTTCATATATTTAAACTTTTCATACTGCTTTTTTTTTATGTTCATTTTAAAGTATTAGTACTTTGTAATTTGAAGTTTTGTCGTTTTGAAAATTTTTTGTATCCCTTTTATTTCACATTTAATTTAATGACAAAAATCCAAATAATGAATATTTTTTGACAAGACTATGTCTTGTTTATAAAATCATACTGCCCAATATTCTTACCAGCATAGAGGTATGAAGGAGTATATGTTGAGAGTTGATATTTGGCACAGAGTATTAGGTGCCCAAATCATTTGAGCATAAAAAATCCAGACTCGTAGGTAGTCAGGGGACCGAGAATCGAGTAAAAATAAAACAGAAAATGGCAATCCTCTTCTACAAACAGGTAAAACAGCCACCTCACCCCACCAAAGTCAGATAGGGGAGAGTACCACCCACAGTCATTCTAAGAAGTAAACTCTGACCTTAGGACTGAACACATAGTTTCTTCTATGTTAAATAAAATTTGTAATCTAATTTTGTAAATTTGGGAGTGCTTCAAATATGAAGTTGAAACGGTTTTATGTCGTTACAAGTGGGTTTTTTTAACATTATCTAGTATAGTAAAATCATGGGACTGATAAAAATTTAATGTTATATTAGGGTTGTCGTTACATCCGATGACATTATAATCGGGTTAAACTGTATATTGTTTGTGCAAAATAATAAAATAATTTTGGACGATACAATAGCTACGATTATTTTTTCAAAAACGGAAATTTTTGTTACGCGTCGACAAAAATTCAACCTGGGCCAATATGCAACGGAGAGAAATTTCAAAATTGGATAGGTTAATTCCATTGAAAATGCATCATGGATGACCTTGTTGTCATTGCCGGCAAAGATTGAATGGTCGTGCCCAAAAGCAGCGATACCAAAGAAGATTGGAGAATGAGAACGAGACCCACCTTGAGCATCAAAGTGATTCTGCTTAGTAGTGAGTCTCTGAGACAGTCTTGTCCCAAACACGGTTTTGCCGTTTTACTTGTTTGCTATACACTCTTAGGCTGTTCACTCAATTGCTATGAAACTCGGCAGTTAGGTTTATGTACTTCTAACTTAGATAATGTCATACATTCCACCCCAAAATATATATTAAATTTCTATATATCAATTAATTTTTATCTACATTTGATTTGCTAATTTACACACAGTGCCATCTATTGGCAAAATTTAACAAAATAATAAACTAAATATAATTCTTATAAAAAAGGATATATTTTAAAAAAATTATATATTATATAATACAGCTTGATCCTCATGCCAAATGTTAAATAGTGGGAAGGAAAAACTCGCTGAGTACGGCATTATTAATAGTTTTTTATATTGCTAACATTTTCAATGAATCTATATTTGTCATCGTCAGGTGAATGAAAATTGGACACAAAAATTCTAACGTGAATGGAACACACATTTAAATTTAAAATTTTTGAATTAAAAATCTTTATGAGCAAGCTACAAACTTCAATTATGTTCAATATTATGATGTGATGTGGCACATGCTTGGATTCAGATCCAGGTTAATGGTGTGACAGTTCATATAAATCACTGTTTAATCATTTATATAGGGTGACCCATATGTTAGGCAGGTCAAGTGTGGGAGTGTTGCACTGTTCTGTGCTTATTGTGAGGTTCATATAAAGATGAATTTTCGGTTGCCACAGTATCTGAGTAGTGTTGTTTGAGCTCAAACTTCTTGTAGTTCCTATGTTAAAGAAAGTCAATGGCCCGACCAATCAACAACAAGACTATCGATTCAGAAGTCAGTGGTGTCGAGGTTGCCTTGCATCATGATATGAATTATTAATGACATTGCTATTTAAATTACATTTCAATATACATGCAGGAAATATCCATCCACGTTTTTGATTTTTGGTATGTGCCACAGTTGAATTTAAATCAAATTAATTAATAAAAATCATGTTAATTGACATTCTCGTAATATAAATGGCATTCAAATATGTTTAAGTTAAGTTAAATGACAAAAATTTATTAATATATTAATATAAATTATATTAATAATAATAATTAATACTAGGTAGCCAGTTAATTATAACTAAAAATAATAATTAAAACTGGTCTTAAATAAAAATAAAATAAATTAATTGAAATTAAATCAATTGAAACATAATATTTTGGAAAGTGTGGATAAAGTACTTGCTGCCCATTTTGATTGATTTGGTTATATTTCATTTTGGCAGTCAGAGTTAAGTCTCTATTTATAGCCCTTCTTTGTAAAGTGTTAGTTTTGGTTTTGGTTGGCAGTGACAGAATATTTTGCTTTTAATATACATAGAATAAATATATAGATATAGAATAGATACAGATGAAATAATATATTGCCTTTATAGGTATTTTTATGCATGAAATACAGCTAAAAATATAAAAAAATGTTTTGTTTTGGGGTAGGGAATGGATTAATTCATTTTATATTATTTCTTACAGGAAAATTTGTTTTAGATTTAGAAGAACTTTTAGGAACAAATTAAGTTCAAAACCACAGGTTTGACTGTAGTTATTTCTTTGGGTTGTAAAGGTAATTTACAGTTTGATTTGAGAAACTCTGGTAAAGTTTTTGTTTAGTTTATCATGTGAAAATTAACATTGTGACAATGGTATTTTGCCAGGGCAACTCACTTTATTGGTGTTAGTTTTAAAGCAGGTCAACTGTATTTCTAAAAATATATCCATTTACATAGTGCATACAGTAAGGAAGATAAAATATTAAAATTATATGATAGTTTGTTTATTAGATTAGAAAATATTACAGTCAAACCTTGCTTAATGAGCATAATTCATTCTAGAATCTTACTCATAATGCAGAACACTCGTTAAGCAAAACAATTTTTCCCATATAAATTAATGTAAAATACGATAATGCGTTCCATGTTGGAAAAAATACTCAAATATTTTATGTATAATGTTTATTCAAAGAAAATTATTCAATATACATTGTTAAGGAGCATGAATCACCATCATCTTTTCTTCTAGCGCTGAATGAACCAACCTGGAATGCAAATTCGATTTGCAGAAAACAAAAAAAAATCGCAGATAATATGTGTGATAAACATGTCAGACAATATACCAAATTCTTGGGCTATGTAAAGGCTATAATTAAATATTTGAAATTAATTAATTTGACTAGAGGTAGGCAGTTATGCTGCCATCTCATATTAAATTTAATAATTATAAATAAATACGTTTTAATTTAGACAATTCTAAAATTTAATTTGTAATTGGTTATTAAATATAATATGAGATAGCAGCACAATTGCCTACCTCTAGTCAAATTGTTTAATTTCTAATATTTAATTATAGTCTCTACATAGCCCAAGAATTTGGCATATCATTTGGCGTATAAATATAAATATCAATTGAAACCCGATATCTTAAGCAAATATCATTTATCCAGAATTTAGCCCGATCATTTACGGCAGTTGTAGGTGTATTTGTTTGATGTATTTATTATATACCAGGCTATAGTTGTTGATGTTTATACATAATGTGTGTGTGTGTGAACACAAGTTTGAAAAAATGTGTGATCACTAGCAATACTAAGATACTAATGGAACAAGTGCTAAACACAGACTGATGGAGAATCTAGGACTTCCCCTCTCCTTGTCACTTGTTATGCAAAACATTGCTCATTAAGCAACTCATTGTTTTTACAATTTGCTTTGCTTGTTATGCAAATTACTTGTTATGTGAGGTGCTCATTCAGCAAGGTTCCACTGTATAGCTATGGATATACTGTATATGGAAGTAGAAATGTCATATTTTTATCTTTGCTTTGAAAGTTCTATTTTATTTTATTATAATTGACAGTTATCATATTCAGCCTGATAGAGTTGTAGAAAACATGTATTAAAAACTTAACTGAACATATGGATGACACCTGTGACCATTTGGTTGATGCTTCTGTAGGAATACCAGAGTAAGAGAGAGATTGGGAGATTTTTTTGAGGGAGAAGAATTGAAACTCCACATGTGAAAGCTTTAGTGCTATACATGTGAGACAAAGAAATTTTGAGAACAAAGAATATCATCTACTCTTAGAAGTGAGATACTCAAAGGTTATGACATATTATCTTGCATTTGTGTTCTGTCTTTTTCATCAGTGTTTGAGTTAGTATTGAGAGTTTGTGCACAAAATATGAAGCTGGGGTAAATTTTGAGTTCTGTTTAGAAAGATAGTTGTTACAAGACTTTGAGGAAGGTTCTTCTTTTACTGTTCTCCTAAAAGAACTTTGACTATAAGAAATATTTTAATCTAGACTATGTAAAGAATTTTAAAATGTCAAACAAAGAAAATACTAACTTAGTTTTTTCCTAGTTGTCTTCAAAATGGATAAATAATTTACTAAATACAAATGATGCATCATTTCTATCAGTAGCAACAGCAAGTGCAATAGCATCCAAGCTAATACAGCTGAACTTGGTTATAATGAGCATTAGGGATCTGGCAAGATTTCCTCATTATAATCATTATACTCATTATTTTTGTGAAGAGCAAAAACTAGGGGAGAATAGGCAGCTGCTTTGGGTGCAAACATGTAGGGGCACCCCACGAGCAGTAAAATTTGTATCTATGCCACTGATTAGTAAAATCTGTCTATTAATTTTTTTATTCTAAAAAAATTATGTAAAAACATTATATAATTATTAATAAAAATACAGTATAAACTATGGTATAATTAATATTAAACAATTTGTTTTTGTAATTAACGATAATAATAATAATAATTAATAATATGCCCGATTTCAGTAAATCTTTTTATCTACAAATCTTAAAATTGATGATTGCTTTATTTTTCCATAATGTCAGTACAGTTGAAGATAACATATAAAACTTTCTTACACACTTTTATGTTTTTAGTACCATGTTCTAACTAGTGAATAATTTCTAATTTTTTGTAAATTGAGAGAAATTTTCTTTTCTTCATAGACAACTTTCTCATAGAATGGTTTGTTTTTAACTAGAATATATTGTAATTTTACAATCGTTGTGATGATTAGGTAAATTGACAAGTAAGGCCAGAAGCTATTCAAGAAAAAGGAGGATGGTCTCCAAAAAGAAAGGTAAGTGATGAATAGGCCTGTAATCGATGCAAGTCTTGAAACTAATTATTCAGTGGTAATAAAACTAAGTAACCCTATCAGTTTTATACCTTTCCAGAATTCAGTATTGCATTTCTTCCTACTTGAACGATTAAGAATATTTGTATGTTTGCATAATTACTGAAAATATGCTCAGTATATCCATGGAGTACACTTGTTATAACCGTGAGAAAATGTATGGAAGTATGCATAAATTAAAATGGTTACGACATTTTGCCCATTATAACTGTACTCATTCATGTTCATTATAACCGAGTTTGACTGTACTTAAGCTAGTCTAGATCCATTTCATGGAATGAAAAGTGATGTATCTTTAGCTTTCTGATTGGTCAATTTCTTGTATCCAGGTAGATAACAGACCATTTTGGACTACAAAGGGTCAAATTCAACACTGTATTTTATTTGATCAAAGAAAGTTAATTGCACCTTGAAATGCCTGCTTGTATTTAACTATTGTTTTTGAATTCTTGTAAGTCTGACACACGAAAGGAGATCTAGTGCAGAGATTAAGGTTATTTAAAACTTTTTTTCCTCTCAATGAATAATTTTATTCTTTCCCATTTTTATTTAGTTGTTGTTCTAGTTTTTATGAGCATTAGAATCAAAGCTTGATCCCTTGATTTGACACTTTTATTAAATTTTTAACATGTGAGCTTGAGTCTTGTTTGGCCCTCACATATCTATATTTAGCAATGATTTCATGAATATTGCCAAATTAAACCAAAATCCAATAAAAAAAAATGTAATGTTTAACAAAAGCTAATGTTTTCAACAGTTTTTGGCTATCATCATCAGGTTGTGTGTTAGTGTTCAAGTGTAGGACATAACATCAAACATCAATCGTAAAATGATGGCAAAGGGCTGTCTGGTTAGTTGTTGCTATAATGATGTAGAAAAATTAAAACAGAACCTCAAATAAAGATCCCAGGCCTGATGTAGGGTGTTTGTATCTTTTAAATTAATCATTAAAGCTTTATATTTCAAGGTGTATATTACTATTATTTTTAAAGATACAAACACTTTACATCAGGCATCTTTGAATTCCCATTTTAATTTTTCTTCATCACTTTAGCAATGCCCCAATCACAGTCCATCATCATCATTTAAAGATCAATGTTTGATGTTATGTTCTGTTTTGAACACTGTAGCACAACCTGATGATGATAGCTGAAAGCTGTTGAAACCAGTTGTTTTTTTTTTATAAATATTATGATTTTGATGGTGTTTTATAATTTATCCAGTTTTTGTGGTGGTTATATTATAGTAATGTTTTCACATAAGTTTACAATATTGAAAATGGATTATTAATGCTTACATTGCAAAGAAACTTTGTTTTGATTTCCTTTTTCTCAATCTTAAGCCTGACATTTTGCAATTAGTAATCAATTATTTTTATTATTATTCAAGGTTGCTTGTTTTGGAATAATAAAATAAAATATATGCAGTGGTTTCCTATTGTTCTGTTTTTTTTTTTTTTGTTATAGCTGATTTCTAACAAATAGATTTTTTTTCGAAAAGTAATTTACTATTTTATAGTTTTTAATTCATTACAAGGGTAGGCTGAAATGTAATGCACACATGCTTGTAGAACATGAACAAAAGCAAATATCAAGATTGTGAAAAAAGTACATTAAAGTACAATTCTTAAGCTTCAAAATCATATATTTATTTTTTAACATAGTCACCGTTAAGGCTAACACATTTCTCCCAACGTGTAACAAGTTTTTTCATTTCGTCACTGAATAAGTCTTCTGACTTTTCTCGAATTCAGCAGTGGATGAGCATTGTCATGTTGCAAGATTATTGGCGCCAGGTGATTATTTGATGTGTTAGAGGCAGCCTGGCGCCAATAATCTTACAACATGACAATGCTCGTCCACACACCTAGCACGCAACTGGAGAGGCTCTGTGAAACCTGAAGTTTGAACTGATTCCATGCCCTCCTTATTTCCCCAATCTTTCGTCTTGCAATTTTTATTTTTTTTCCTCTACTCAGGAGAGACCTCAAGGGTAATTATTACACCTCGGACGGTGAGGTAAAGGCAGCTGTCAAGTCCTGGATTCGAGAAAAATCAGAAGACTTTTTCAGTGACGGAATGAAAAAACTTGTTACACGTTGGGAGAAATGTGTTAGCCTTAACGGTGACTATGTTAAAAAATAAATATATGATTTTGAAGCTTAAGAATTGTACTTTAATGTACTTTTTGCCCGATCTTGATATTTGCTTTTGTTCGTGTTCTACAAGCATGTGTGCATTACGTTTCAGCCTACCATTGTATATACATGTTTGGGTATTGAAGAATAAAATAAAAATGATGCTAATATGTATGCATAGGCAAGGCTATTGGAAATTATTATGAATTTTAGTGGTTTACTTGTATGTAATTGAATATGACAAAATAATAATAATGTTCAAACAGTTTTTAAAATTGTTAAAAAATAAATAAATAAAATAAACTGTTAATGAACCATTTAAGTTAACCATTCAAGTATTCTAGTAATTCATTAGCATTACTAGAATACGTGAATGCATTAACATTGCATTCAAATAATCTTTACAAATTAAAAAAAATAATTCTGCGATGACTGAGGAGAAAAATAAACAATGGTACAATTATACATCAAAGACACACTTTCTTTATTCTCAGGAATTGTCAGATACAAACAAATCTTCCCTCTGCATAAACTGCTGACTTAATACTTGAATGGTCTCTTAAGTATATAACAAGTGAAACATTTAAATTTGAAATGGACAAAAAGCTTAAAACATGCTTTTGTAAAGTTTTCATTTGTATTTTTAAATTAAATTAATTTTGTTATTATGAACTGTTAATTTTAACATAGAAACAATATTTAAATTATTTTATAATTAATTACATTTTTAAGCGAAAAGAATTTCAAGAAGGAAGATTTTATGTTGTACTTCTGTTGAAACCAACCAATGCTGATTGTTTAGGAGTGTCTTTAAATCATCCAGGTATTTTTTAATTATTTTTTTATGTATGATGCAATTTTATTATAGTATATATGAAAAAAATAGATTAAAAATGTCTAGGTTAACAACTGCTATTATACAACTGGTTAATATTAGACAAAAATAATATTGAGTGGGGAGGGTGGTGATTAAGTGATAGGAGTCCAATAAAGAATTTATATACGTCATTTACAAAACACACAGATTTAATATATAAATGACAAAACAGTACACAGTCTATGACTAATACAAAGAAATATTCTATTCCTGAATTAACCGAATGCCTCCTAACTTTAAATCTAGAAACTGAGAGAGAGAGTTTACATAATTAAAAAATAATACCTCTAGCTATTCAGTCTGGTCAATATGGACTGGGTTGTTAGTTATGGACCTCAGCTACGTTGATGGCAGGTTCTAGGCCCATCTCTTCCTGTGAACTGCTGCCTCGAAAAGTGGGAATATGCCCTTTTTTATTCATATATTCCTCCAATCAAATTTCACAATTTGAATCATCTGATGGGATGAGATGATGTGTCACTCTGTTAGATGGTGTGAGAAAATTAAGATAAGATACAATCGAAGGAAGTTTAATTTCCCCTTTTTCCATAAAAGTAAAAAGTGTCATCAGTTTTTGACAGGATGTGGCTTTAAATTTGTGACTTTTATCACATTGATTAAACAAAAATATTAATAAATTTTATCAATCTTTCGTTTTAAAAACCTCAATAAAATAAAGATTTAGGTATTAGAAATTTATCCTATGAATAAATGGCCTGTCTAGATCTCCACATCATCTGTGCCATCAAGCACATTCTACGTTGAACACTTTTTAAACTCACTAGCGATGACTTCTCTAGAAATACTTTTTCATACTTACAAAAGTTTGTGGAAACTTATCTATGGAAGTTTCTGGCAATATTTTTCCAAACTTTCAACTATGTCTGTAAAAGGTGTCACCTACTTTATTGACTGAATTAATGACACCAATTCTAAGCAAAAGGACATTTTTTGAACCACAAAAATTCAAAGAAAGGTTGACTTGCAATCAGGTAAGTACAGTAATTAAAAAGTTGGAAAAGCAATAGCATATGTGCATAGTAAGTCAAATGCTGTTTTACTTTGTCAATGTGCCATACTATAAGGGATGTGCAGGTGAGGGAATTTGTACAAAGTTGGTCAGGGAAAGTCATGGAAGTGCTTCCTTATATGCCTTTGTGCAATGTTTTGCTTTGTTAATAATATCTTTTGTTATGGTACAATGTACTCAGGACAGTTGCTATCAGCCAATTTATTGACTTTCACTGCAATTATTATGGACAATGATTTTTCTAGTTGTGATTTATTTACATGTGTCTTTTTCTTACCATACTATCTTTTCCTTAAGCTTTTTGGTGCACATTTACACATACACATTTATATATACAGTAAGACCCGCTTAATGTGGGAGATACATTTCTAGATGACAAAGTGCTAAACAAAACAGCATTAAATGAGGTCATTTTAACACAGAGTAAATAGGGAAAGTGGAACACGCAACCAAAAATAAACAGATTTTAAAGTTATTTTTATATTAATATTAATTTGTATAATAATATATGTTAAATAACACAAATATATGCACGCAGAAATGTAAAGTTAATTTTTTGTGATGAAGGTCTTGGCTTTCCTGAAATTCTTGTTTTTTGCAATAAAGTTGTGTAGTTTCTTTTGTAATTTTTTTTCCTTAAGCAAATATTGGTAGCAGAAGATTGCATCCAAAATGCCTCATTTTGCTTTTGTACTCCTTTCAAAATCTGGATCATTCACTACAATTTGATCAACGATTTTGGTTATCATTATCAAACTTTTACTAAGGAAATCTGTAGAGAAATTCTTTGGGTTTTTTGTTTACAGAATTACTTCAGTTCTGCATGAATTCCTTGTTCTGCCAGTTCTTGAAGGTCGTCGTCGGTGAGAATCTTACCAAAGATGGTTGGTAAGGCTCTCACAAGTAATCTGCACTAACTCCTCAATATCCTGCTTGTCTACATCTCCTAGTTCTGCTGTATCAATTAGGTTAACCAAATTGTCAACCTAATGATATAACCAGTGGTAATATTCAAAATATTTAACAAAGGATTTGCTAACAGAAAATTTTTCCTTGACAATTTTTTTTTTTTTGTTTAAATAGTGCATTAGCAACATTAGCTCAAAAACTGACCTTAAGATACCCATATAAATAAAAATGATATATATTACACATGATGATAAAACTGACATAACTACGTGGTAAGTCACGAACACTGACAAACAAAATGGAAGTTTTGGTTAGAAATAAATACAATACTTTTTCTTGCGATATATCTAATAATAGACAGATGTCACTGTCTCTCGAAATACAATATCTTTTTATTTCGTTGTCGATAGCCCGACATGTGTTCTGCAGCCATCTTGTATTTTCTCGCGCGTGTGGGATTGTGGGATCTCTCTTATGACTGGACCTAGTTTCAAGAACTCTCTTGAGTCGATCATGATTGAACCTTGTTTCAGTCAAGATTGAAACAGTCGAGGGAAGTTGCACCAAGGCGAACAGGGTATTAAGGCTCTAGTTTAGTAGTGTTACAGAGTATAATATGTATATTTTAATATATTTTTTAATTAATTAAAAGAAGCAAAACCACTGAGAAATGTTACATGTGTTTAACAAGGTTTGGAAAGCTTTGAAAATGTTAACAAGGTTTGGAAAGCTTTGAAAATGTTGGCCAAACCTGTGTGATGCTGCTGAATATCACCACTGGATATAGTGATAGGCTCTTGTTGAGAATTCTTGGATACCTTCAGCCATAACTTCTTCCACACTCCGTTCATGCATTTATCAGTTAATTCTTGCCAAGCAAAGTTGATATTGCCTATGGCATCCATAATGTTATATTTTTTCAAAAATTGCACAAAACAAACATAGATTAAGGGACATACAGCACAACGATGAATTGCCACCTTTTGCTGATTGGTTCATGTTTGTGAATAATTGTATTATATATGAATCAATCAAATGCTGCGATAATTTGAATCAGCGTAAATTTTGAGCTTTTGTTTTAGGCTTCAAACAGACCATGCTATATCGAATCAGTGTTAATTGAAGCAGCATTAAGCGTGGTCTTACTGTATCATCCTTAGTTTCTCTCTATCAGTTTATTGCTAATTTGTTTTTTCATGTTTGGCTTGTGTTGAAAGATTTTATTTAATTTCTTGATGATTTTTACATACTTTTGCATTAGCCTAGTATTAATAAATTTTCTTGTGAGAAGAGTGAGAAATGCATTGTGTAATTCTGTGACTGTTTCATCTTCAGAAGAGTTGTGATATTATCTCACTATTATTACTTAATAGATGGGTTGTCTTACACTTATTTCTATGCCATATGAGGTCAAAACATAGCCACAGAAAGTATTATTATTTTGTTTATATGCTGGTGGTATGTGTGTGTGTGTATATGTATATATATATCTGTATTTAAGAATTTCCTGATTATGTGACATGTTTTGTATGGCTACTTTCAGTAATGTGATATACAATCAACCCCTTATAACACGGGTTCCTATAGTTCGGATTCCTATATCACGGCGAAAAAATTGCGACAGTATTTGTACAAACACGCTAAAAAAACTCATCTAATTCGGTAAAACATCCACTATTGGTCGAATCTAGACCAATAGTGGATATTGTACAAACTGTTGAGTTTAAACAGGCAGCGAAACTGCTAAAAGCCATTTATTATTTAACGGCCATAAAAATTATATTTGTATTAATGATTTCTCCAAAGTTCAGCAAATTTTTTGCAAAAAAAATAATTTATCAGGAAGCACGTGAGCATCATTTGATGACAAGCTCCATGACAAAAACAAGCTTAAGCAATGGCGTAGTCAAACGGTGCATGCTCGGTAAGTAATCCTACAATTTTTTGTTTATAGCATAGTTTATATGGATTATTCCCAAAAAATTATACATATTTTGGAAATGTTGAGTCGAATTAGTCTAGAATAGATTAATTTTATGGAAGAAAACAGCCGTAGTCCGTAAACTGCATACATGCTGGGCTGTGATTGGCTAATGTATTCAAGGACTCTTAGAACATCAATTTCATAAAGAATGGAACATATATACCATGTTATAGGGGGTCAACTGTATATGTGTTATTGTTAATGCTAAATGTTTCCAGATTTATATAATGTATGTGGTGTGAAGTCTGTGCAAGAGAAAACTACAATGTAAATACTAACAATAAAGCAACTATAAAAATCTACAACAAAGCAAAATAAATACTTTATTCATTTTTCAAAGACACTGCATTTTATTAGTTTTGAATATTTACTAATTTCTTCAGTATATGTAGTTTGTATGTTATGCAAAATATGCTGATGTGTTATATAGTTTATGCTTGATATAGTATTTTCTACATTATTATTATGAAAAACAAAATTTTTGAATTTTGTATTTTTACTTCAATTAAAATACTTTGTTTTCATTACAAATATCTAGTATAAAATATCATGTTTAAGTGTGAATATAAAAAAAATAAAATGAATTTGCTAGTTGATTTTTTATTATAAAGGTTATAATAATTAGAACTATATATTTTTATGGTTTTAATTAAAATTTTAATGAGATTCAAATTAAGAATTTTATATATATATTTAATTTTTTTTTTTTTAAATCAATAGATGGGAGTTCTGTTAGAAGTAAAAATATTACAGTTAAAATTTCTCCAAGTGTTACAAGTAAGTGATTCATTTTAATAAAAACTACCTAAAAAGAATAAATGTATCAAGTTCTGGAACTGATTTAATATATTTAATTATTAAGTATTGCTTTTTTCTGTATTTAAATCTATTTTTACCAGTTTTAAAATTAGTTTTAACTAATTCAAATATTGAAATCATATAATAAATTAATTGCTCGATTTTCAGATAATGTTAGACATGAAACTTTTGAATATACAAATAGTGTTTTATGCTATTTAAATAATCAAATCTGAATTTATTAAAGTTGTAATGTGCTCCAGTAAGTTGTAAGTTTTAACCTTTAGGGGACTAGGTTGCCCCGCCCCTTTTGTTTACGTTCATTGTTTAACACGACAAAGGGCAATATAGGTCAAACAAGGTCAGACATGTTTTATTACTTTAAAAATTCACCAAAAATCAATTTATCGTTATATTCATATGACAAAAATTACGTTATATTTATTAATACCTGTAGTTATAAATCCGATATTTTTAAATACATTTAAATATAAACTTCAATAAAAAAAAAATTAAAATATTTCAGACCTGACATCTGTCTGTGAAAATTTGCAACATTTTTGTAAAATTCACATACTCCAGTTAAGTAGTTTGTTCTTGGCATTAAGCCAGAACGACTTGAAATATCGTTCTGTACAATTCGATATAACATTTATGAATGTACGATTATTAGTTTTAAAATTATCACAGATTATAATAAATCCTTTCTTTGGAATGTAATTTTTGTTTTGCTATCGATGTGTATTACGAACTAATATTCTTTATTCATTTTATTTTGAACAATAATATAAATTATTGTGATAAATATATAGACTACTAGTAATACATTTACGATGGGCTAATATTTTTAATTTAATTAAAAAATAAAAAATTAAAAAAATTTATAAATATCAAAATTGAAGGTCACAATTTAAATATTTATCATACATTGATTTATTATAACTAAATAAACTTATTATAGCATGAATAAACGTATTTTAGTAATATTATTACGTAAATATGCTATAAAATAAAAGAAAAAATATTTAACTTAAAAAAAAAAATCGCTAAATAAAAACTTTTCAGTCGACAAGACACCACCTGGACACAAATATGTGAAACAGATGGTAGACAACACACTACCGTCAAGTGGTGGCATCTGTTGCCAAAAATTTTCATTAAAACCGATTTTTATTAGGGTAACGACCAGTCGTTACCTTGTCGTCTTTATGGAACAGGGGGAGTAAGGGGGGTAACGACTGGTCGTTACCCTGGTCCCCTATGGGCTAATCCAACTTGAGCTGTCTTCTGCACGTTAAAATTAAATTGAATTTGGGAGTAAAAGAATCAAATGTATGCATTTGAATTTACAGAATATTTCAACTATTCAAAAAACTACAAAAAAACGACATTTGTGGGTTCCCAGATGAGGTTCGAACTTGAGTAAACTTCGAAATTCTTATGTGACGCCAGATATAAACAATGAGACTCGGAACTGTTCAAGTATGTGTCAAACTATCTGTCAAGGGCTTAGCAGAAGACATACTCTAACACAAGCACTAATAAATAGGTAGATCATTGACTCTCAAGTCTATAAAATGTTGGCCGAGATAAACCTTTTCAAACAAAAAAGGGGAATTTTTGAAAGATGAAAATGATCATTAAATTCTTAGATGCCAAAAAATGGTATAAACAATGGCCTGAATTATGAGTGCGGGTGTTATTGTTTTATAAACAATTACCTGGCAGAGTCGACAAAGAGGTATCAAATGGACACCTCAAATCGGACCTTTCCCATGACCAAAAGAGGTTTCGTCTTGCATCTGGAGACAAAGGAGAGACCAATTGGGAAGCGAGGAATGGGACAAGGGACCAATTCAAAATGCGAATAGTGGGGGAAAACTATAAAAATCGGAATTTCAAGGTTGAAGAAGAGTCTCCTCTGTATTCCGCAAAAAGTCGTGATCTGTATTGAGTTGTGTCGTCGCCATCAACTTAGAACTCCGCCACACCATTTCCCGATCATCTGTTTTGCCCAGTGATCTCATCTTGTCTGCCCCGGGGCTACGACCAATACCAAAGTTCTTGCCTCTCTGCCTCTCTGAAGGACTAGTGAAGGACTGTCAATTGTCGATGTAAGCATAAATGTTAACAAATAAATGGCTTTCTTGTGTAAAACACTTGTCATCATTTGCCTCCTCTGTCACAGCCCGTATACAACCTCCCCTGAGGTTCATCTTGACGTGGGATTAACTGATCCCACCTAAAAGATGGCAATCTAACACAGGTGCTGAGGAGTGGGTTTTCAAGTCCCCTATCTCCACCAGGTCGGCGACCTTACACATTTTTATATATACATATATAACATTTTCTATATGCAATATGTGGAAAATAATAAAATATTATTAAAATATCAAATAAATTTTTGTTGTAAAATATTACATATACAGGTAACCCCCGTATAACACGGTAGTTACGTTCCAAAAAATTGCCGTGTTATGCGAATCCGTGTTATACGAAACAAAGAACTAATACGAAAAGGAGGGTTAGGTTCCAAAAATTAAAAAACATGCTAGTATATTTTCATAATTAAGATAAATATCTTCATTAAAATTTTTTTAAGTGATACATATTAATATAAATTAAACAATGTTTTCTTCGTCATCACTAAAAACACTATTAATTAACCGAGAGCGTTTTCTTTTTGGCAAGTTATCCTTATCCTCTGAGCATTTTTCTGCATTATCTTCAGATCCATGCTTTACCTTTTGCAAAATGTATGTAATTTTAGATTGCTTGCTTCTAGTTAAAAGGTCTTTATAAATTTCCTTATATGGTGCTAAGCACTTATGAAGAATAAAGCAAGTATGGAATAAGGGAAAAACATTCGGCAACATCAGAAGCAGAAGCGTCGCGATCTGGCAACATTGAAACAAGTTTCGAGAAGGACCACGTGTATCGACAGAAGGCGAGAAGAGAAAATTTACATACTTAAGTACTAATAGTTCACGAAAATAATAATTTTCGTGAACTATTATTACTTAAGTATGTAAAAATTTATTACATTTCCTGTTGTGTGAGGGTTTTACCCAATTCTCGAACCATGTCAGAGTGAATCTGTGCTATAAAAGTACCGTGTTATACGGGGGATGGTACCAATTCTCAAACCATGTTAGAGCGAATCCGTGCTATAGAAGTGCCGTGTTATACGGGGGTTACCTGTACTGATGACTGTTTGAAGTATCTTCTTTAGGTGTCTTCTTCTGTCAGGAAGTTGACAACCATTTCATGCCACCATGATCTATCTTGTGCTTCTCTTGAGCACTCTTCATATGTTAAGTATGTCCAATTCCTGATGATGTTGAACAAAGGTAGGGGTAGTTCATTCTTGACCTACCCCTACCTTTTTGCCCTTCAATCATTCCCTCCAGTAATAGTTTTTGCAGGCTTTGGTGTTGCAGTACATGCCCCAGATAACTCACTTTTCTTTTCCTTACTACTTCTAGTAAGGTTCTTTTCAGATTTGCAATTGCCAAGATATCTTCATTTGTTCTTCTTGTCTTCCAAGAAACTCTCAGCATTCTTCAAATCATTCACATTTCAAATGCCTTTAATTTTTTTCATTATTTGCATTCATTGTCCAACTCTCTGCTATGTAAAGCAGGGTTGACCAAACATAACATTTTGCCAACCTAAACTCTTGTTTGTATACTAATCTCCCTTGAAGTCAACACTCGTTTCATGTTTGTAAATGCAGTCCTTGCAATTCCAATCCTTTTTCCAATTTCCTATCATTCCTTCCATCATCTGTAATGATATGTCCCAGATAGACATAACTTTTGACCTGCTTCAGTTTACTGTCTCCAATTTTAATATTAACTTTTGGAGTTTCTTTCTCATTGGAAATGACCATAGTTTTGATCTTTTTGCAGTTCAGTGTTAGCCCAAATTGATTGCTCAATGTTGAAATTTCCTCTGTCAGCATTGTTAGATCCCCTTCAATTTCTGCAAATAGCACAGTGTCATCAGCATACTTCAGATTATTGAAATTTCTGCCCCCTATGTTTACTCCTTTTAGATCTTTGACCTGACTGAAAATTCTTTTTGTATAAAGATTGAACAAAATTAGAGACAGCACACGACCCTGTCTTACTCGTTTTTGAATTGGGAAGCTTTGCGAAAATTCTTTGCCAATCCTTATTGCAGCTCTCTGTCTCCAGTATAAAGCAGTAAGTAATCTGACATCCTTTCCATCCATACCGTTTTCTAATAGATATTTAATAAGGTAATCATGTTTCACATTATCAAACACCTTTGTATAGTCTATAAAACATAGATAAATATTCTTCTGTTTTTCCTTATATCTTTCAATAATAGTTTTCAGATTGAAAATACCTTCTCTTATTCCTTTATTCTCTTGGAAATCACTTTGTATTTCACTAATACCTTCAGTCCATCTTTCTTTGTTTCTATTTAATAAGATATAAGTTAGAACCTTTGCCACATGATTAATTAGGCTAATGGTTCTAAAATCCTCACATTTATCTGCTTTTGGTTTTTTGGGGATTGGAACAAATATAGACTGTTTGAAGTCTTCAGGAAGGTATCCCAGTTCATAGATGTCATTGCATAACTTAGCCAGAACTTTGATGCCTTTATCATCTACAGCTTTAATCCATTCTGGCTCTATATTGTCTGGGCCAACAGCCTTACTGGGTTTTACTTTATTAATGGCTTTTACAACTTCCCATTTGAGTATTGGTGGGCCTTCTAACTCCCTGGGAGATTTGATCTCCTCCCTGTCACCTTGGAATAATTCCTTTCCATATTCATGCCATCTTTTCATTATTTCCTTTGTCTCCAAGACTATTCTCCCATTTAAATCTCTTATACCTTGTGCTTGAAAATTTCGTTTTTTAAATGTTAATTCTCTGATTTTATCATGGAGTTCTTTTATTTTATTTTCTTTGTCCAAACCAGCATCATTATTCTCCGTATTACTTTGTTAAGCTGTTCATTTCTTGAATTTTCTCTTGTATTTCTACCTGATTGTGCCTAGCAGTACCAGGAAGCTTAATAAAGATTTTTTTATGAAATGGAAAATAAAAAAAATGGAAATGGAAATACATTTGTAGATCAGTTTGGTTTGCCAGGACAAAAGTCTACTATACTCATTTTTGCTGCCATCATAATGGCATTTTTCTGTGTGATTGTGTCTTCAATGTTAATGTCAGCAACACATTACTGTCACATTCAATTAAGAAAAACCGCTCTGGATTTGTGGTGCTTTATATCACAAATCTTGCTTAGTTTGACAAGCATTGTATCTCTTTTCTTGTCTTGATCCAAAGTTTTCTGTTTACTTGCTAAAATAGTGCCAGAGCTATCAAGGGCAGACTTTGACACTCAGCAAGGTCAATTGGTTTATCAAATTTTGATCAATTATGAGCAGCAAGATTCACCTAAAACATTTCTGATAAAATGCTACATGTAAGTTGTGTGTGTTTATATAGTGTATCTTATTAAGAGAGAAATGACTGAATGGTTTTCTAATAAGCATTTGAAATGAGGCTATTTTGTATCTGAAAAGATATTTAGACATATATGGAATGTATAATGGATGGAATGCTTGTTTGACAAAAATATTGGTGAAAATCATTCTTTTCTTTAATGTTAATAATATATCTAGGAATATTATTTATATTATTATTAATTATTATTTTATGTTTTTATTTAGGAATGTATATTTAGGAGTGATATATTGTGATATATTTAATATCCTTACATAATCACAATTTCTCTATATACTCTTTCTCCTTTTTTAACTTTCTGTAAGATTTTAGTTCTACTATTTAAACTTAAATTGATGAGTTTTGTATGTTTTTCTGACTTAAGAGATTGTTTATGCTTTTGTGATTTAATTCTTTGTCATAATAATTTATAACATTTATTATAATATTTATTAGTAAATTATTATATACTATAAACAATTAAATGCATTTTTCTTTTCATTATTTTAATATTTATTTTTTTATTAGAAACTGAATACTATGAAGCTGTCTTTGAAGCAATTTGCTTTTTTATAATATTTTATGTATTATCAGTTGTGATTTCTGCAGTTTATTATATTAGGTAAGAGAAATATGTTTATAGAATAACATTATTATCTAGTTACCAATAATACCAAGTATTTAATAAAGTTTGAAAATTCTTTTATCAGTTTTTTCTACATTTAATTACTAGTAATTTTAAAATACAGGTAGCCCTCGGTTTACACTGCAGTTCTGTTCCTACAAAAGCCGACGCAAATCGAATCGGCGTAAAACGAACCCATATTTACACTGAGGTATAGGGTTAGGTTCCACATAAGTGAAAAATATGCAAATAATTTTGTTTATTAATACAATATAATACAAAGTACAAATAAATTTAATTTTTAAAATGTATTTTATCATAAAATAAAGTTAAATGTTTTTATTAAAAAGTTTAGTTTCGAATCTCTTACATTTTTCGGAAAAAGTATCCATCTTTAATTGTTTACATTTTTGTTTACTTTCATTGAGAATTTCGGAATATGGTCGAATGGATGCGGCGATGCTCCTTTTTACATTCGCACTTTGCTTCCAATCATTGTCTAACTCACAAAGTTCATCCGTCAAACTTTCCATAGTTGAAAGGATATGTTAACCCGACATAGAGCTACGGACGAGCGGAGACACTGATTGGTCAACCACTGGTTGCCGTAGCGCATATATAAGGTCAGTTTGAGCGGGAAAATTCAAGGTGGCTAAGGAGAGATAAATATCGTCTGGCTAATAAAAAAGTATCGTCTGGCCAACGAGAAGTAGATTTGTCTCACTAACGATAATTTGTGATCGCTGGAAGTGCTATTGCGTCATAAGGTGTTTTCCTGGATGAACTGATACGGGATACATTCATTGGCGCTATGGATTCGGATGCCATTTATTGGACTATTAAGTTTGATAACTTGACTCGTGGGTACCTAAACGTTTAGTATTTTAATATTAATTTAATGCAAATGTATACATACCCAATAATATTAAACAGAAAAAATAAATATATTCAATAAAAATCTTTGTTTTAATGAATGTACAATGTCGCAGCTTGGTAAATACGTCAACACTGAAACGAAAATCAGTCTGGCATAGGGAAAATTGGGGAATTACACAGCAAAATTGTGAATTGTGCAGTGGTGTTATTGTGAATCGGCGTAAATTGAACCAACGTAAACCGAGGGCTACCTGTACTATATTATTGAATTTAGTAACAAATGACAATGTGTCTAATTGTAATGGTAACCTTTCTTGCCAATAAGTAATCTCATTAATCAACAACAACTTAGTCCTTTAAGTATGCAACAAGGGTGATGTGTGTCTCTACCGAAAATTGTGGTCTGTTTAATAAGAGCTTTTTATTTCTTGAGCTTTTCCGAATATTTTAGGTGAGAGAGGGGTGTTGATGGATGGTGTATTAGACAAGCTCTGTTGAAAACGCATTCACATCTTAGTCTGATGCAGAGGCTGTCAGAGTACTTTTAGTTAAATGCTTTCTGACTGAGTTTTGATGTACCTTGATTCTAATCTGTACAGATTACAGGTACCACTAATATATCCATAGGAGCATCCTACCCTGCTGTTGCATTGAATATCTCTTCCAGGCATTGTATAAACACCTGGAAGAGATGTTTGATCAGATGAATCCTTGTCATTTTTAAGAGTTGACCATGGCTCTCCTATTATATGCAATATGAACATTGTTGTGGAATATCCTTATAAATGCCATTTAGCAGTTTGTTATAAGTGACTATTTTGAAGGTCAAAGGCTTTTGTACCCACAATTCAAATGAGAATGATGCTGTATTAAGTGGCAAACAAAGTCTGGCCAGTATCCCAAAGTTGTAGCCAAATGATAATGAATGCAGAACATACAGCCAAGTTTCTTTTTTGTTTGAGAGATACATTAGAACAAGTGGAAAAAGGCTGTTTTTATCAGGCTCTTGAAGGCCATGGACTTGTATGCTTGTGGATCATGAAAAGCAGATGGATTAAAGAGAAGGTTGTGAGAAGCTTTTCAATAGATGTCAGTGGTAAGCATGCCTTCCTTCAAAGTAATGAGATGATCCAGGAAATGGACATGTCTGTTGTTCTGCTGCACTAAGTTTAACATTAACCATAAGAGTTGTTATTGATGGTATCAAGGAAGGTTTAGGTAGGAGGAACAGAGGACCAGACAAGAAGGTTGTCATTGATGTATCTGGAGTAAGGAAGGATGTGACCCTCAAATGCCAGAAGTAAGCATTGAAGGACCAGTTTGTACAGTGAACCCATTGGTAGGCTCCTAGATTGTAGATATGTAATGTCTTCAAAGAAGAAGAAGGAGGAATGACAGATGACATGTGCCAGTTCTAAAATAGAAGAATGGTATTTGTTCAAATGTTCATTAGAAAGCAGAAAATTATATATTTATTGAAATGGCTCAATTCTAATGGAAGAAAACAGTAATTGATAGTCACAAACTTTAAAGTATGTGTGTTAAAAATGAAGGTCTCATATTAAGGAATCTGGTCCTGTAACAACAAAGAAATGGCTGGAGGGATTCTGTAATGAAACAATTGCAGATCCTTTCACCATATATTGTAAGTGGTACAGATTTATTGACCACATAATGAAGATGAGAACCTTCCTTAAGGATCTTTGCAAAGGCAAATATGCAATAGTTGTAGGAGCTGAAATTATAGCATTTCTCATGAGTAGAAGTGTAGCAAGTGGAGTATTTGTAAAATGTCAGACTCTAAAGTGAAGCTTTTTGATCCTGTGGTACAGTTACACATTCAGTTTCATGTTTATAGTTAAGGATTACTGTCCTGTAAATAGATAACAAGAAGACTTTGATTTATTAGATGATAGGTCCATAAGACTGGCCCTGTTGAATGATACATTTATGTTATTATTGTAGGCAAAGGCTGAGGGCAGTGGTGCACAAGCTCTTTTTTATGATGTTATCAAGCTCCTTAATTAAACTTGTGTGCTCAAGAATCTGGTTGTTGCTTTGTTGTACTAGTAATGATGGTTCATTTTGTTGTTTTTAATAGGTGTGGAGTAAATACCTAGGAAGAAACAACAACAACAGATTTATTTATGTCATACAAGCAGGGCTGTGGAGTCGCATAAAAATCTACCGACTCCGACTTTTCCTTACCATCCGACTCCGACTCTGTTTCATATACATAACAAGTCGGTAAGTAAAAGGGAGTTGGAGTCGGCGGATTTTTTGATGACTCCGGCTTCGGCTAAAACACCAAAACTCCATGACTCCGACTCCACATCCCTGCATACAAGGGTACATGTACTACTCTACAGATTATAACTGGGTAGATAAAAACATAGGTAATTATTACATGAGGTTTCCAGAACAAATTTATCTATATACAGTTACACAATTTACAGGGTTTGTAGTACAAAAAGTGGCAGTACTCACAAAATGTGACATGACTTGGTCTTTGCTTTACATAGTAGATGGTGAGTGCTGCAAATAATGAATGCAGAACGTACAAAATAATACAGTATTAAAGATTGTAGTTGCAAAATTAAAAAGTGGTGCAACATATGAAGATTGAAGCAGGATGAACAGTTCAGGCATTGATGTTACAGTGCTGATGACCTAACTTGCATATAGCTGAATGGTTTGACCTGGGTAGCTAAAGATTGTAGCCTTTGACGGATGTGATATAAAAGTACTTCTTGATAAGCTGGCAGAAGGAGTCGTAATTTGTATGAGAGACAAGTTCTTTGTAGTTCCCTGGCCAGGTTTTGCCATTGCTTTCCACTGAAGTTCTCAAATAATGCCATTCAGTCTTGAGCATCAGGCAGTGGAAGATGTAGTGTTCACTGCTATTTGGCTCATTGCATACTGGACGTTGATCAGTGTGGTGCAAGTCAAAGCATTTGAGGTAAATGTACAACCTACTGTGGCCAGTGAGAAACTGTGTGATTACATGATTTATGGTGATTCAGCTGACATTCTTTAAGGTGGCATAAAGATGTATGCCCACTTTTGTGAAAATAATATTTTGGGTCTTCAGTGCTGAAAGTGAGCTTATGCTGACTTCCCCAGCTTTCAGTCTTTCTGAGGATGTAGCTACCTTTGTATTCCATGTTTACCTGTATCTGTGTCCTGCCCAAAGCTTTCAGAAAGGAAAGGTGGTATATTTAGGAAAGAGAAAAATATATATGCACCAAAATTAAGACAGTGAAAGAATGAACATGGAGAAAAGTCCTAATTAAAGGAAATTACTGATGGCAGCACTAGTGGCTCAAAGCCTGGCTCATAAACCTGAAAAAACTGACAATAAAACATGAACAACTTACCGTAATGAAAAATGGTAAACATGGTTGGAAAGAGGAGAGCACAATGGATCTAGTGATATAAAACATGTAAATTTAACTGTGAGAGAAACCTGGAAAATTCTAAGATTTAGGGGACTGAAGTCTTTTGGACTTAGAATGCAACATCTTGTCAACAATAGGAAACCACCTTCATTGCTAGACTTTCCTCTTTTTCTTTCAAAGACTATGCACTAAAATATACAAGGACTTCAACCTTTGTGACGATAGAACTTTATTTGTCAGTTAATTGTCTAATAAATGTGTTGTGTTGTTTGTAAATGCGGCATTGATCTCTGACTCAATCGTTCCCACATGTTGTTGATTGTTACTACTCAGGTAGTCCAGATGGCAATGGAGACAATAATGATATATATCATATAATCGTTATTTCGTTTCGAAATTTCTTTTCCCCTCTCATCCCCCTCACAAGGACATTGTTCATTGAATGAATGCTTTAGAATAGGGAGATGGGCAAGTACAATAGAACTGTTAGTCCAGTTTATTTGAAGACAATTCCCAAAAACTAGAACAGTTCAAAAACACTCACAAATACTTTTACATACTACTTCTAGCACGGATTTTTGTGAGACCATGGATTTTAGAGCGGGAATTTTGTAAATGAAAGGAAACTTTCCTTTTTTTCATTGATTGAAATTTTGTAAACACCCCCATAGAAAAAACTCCTCACGGAGTATCAGAGCAGAGGTCCCTTCCAACTATCAACAATTAGGTGGGAAAGTTGATACTTAGCTGTCAGGAAATGCAAGTCATCGTCAACAAATGAATGACTTTCCCACACTAATGCTATAAAAACTTGCGCTATCGGAAACATGGGGTGGATCAACCCCAGGGAGTTATTTCTGTACTTGTGTCATCGATCTCCATGTTCAGGAACAGAATCATATTGGAGAAGACATACGACTACTATACCTCAGCCATCCCCTCCAATCTTACACATACAGGTATTTGTTAGAATTTTGTGAACTCTCTCCCCCAAGTAGCATTTTATTGCACTTAACCGCATTTAATCGAGTAATGTTTAGTCAGATAGACTTGTAACCGAATTCTGTATGTTAACTTTAGTTAATCAATAAATGTTCTGTTTGTTGACCTGTCGATCATTTTCCCGTGAAGACACCTGTTCACATGCTCACGACCTCCCCACTCACTTTTTGCCCTCCTAAGCCATCCACCGACACAGAGATCGGGTTTTACCAACCTGTGCAGTGTAAGTGGTCATTAGGGATCGTCCCTCTGCATATCTCACATTTTTAATAGATGTTGAATAAACAGAAGATAACAAATTTTTTAGGCTACTTCATTGGCCCTCCTCACTTTAAATAAGCTTGTGCATTTGATAAAAGAACTTAAAAGAAACTTTGATGACACCATCAAAGTTTAGAATGCTTCATATTTTAAATGTGTGTGATCTTTTGAATTTTGTAAGTAGTTCACTATAAAAAGTTCTTTATTGAATGTACAAACTCATTTAAAGTTTAAGAAGATTTTGTAACCTGAAGTGGCTGAAATTATTTGTCACTTCCATTTATCTAATATCTATTAAAACTCTATAAGGGAAGATGTATGTAAAAGCAACTGTGTGTGTCCAGTTTATTGATTACTCTAATATTTTCATGTGTGCAATATGATGTGTAAAATTCTTATATGTAACATTATAACCTATGGAGAGTTATAATTTGCTGAACCTTAATCATTATGCTAAATTGCAATAAAATCATCATACTTTGTGTCTCAGCTTCTCTGTATTACTGAATTTCTTTGAAAACCTATTTAATATGTAAATTGTAGTGAAATAAGTGAGAAATTTTCACTTATTGGGAAATTTTGGAACTAAATTTTTATTAGTGAAATTGAGATTTTATGGTTAGGAAAGTATGCACATGAAATTTGATCTCTTTTGGTCAACAGTTTTTTCCTACATAGTGCTCTAAACACTTCCTGTCTTACAGTATAATAATGTGGTAAATCAATGAAGTATGTCATAGGGCTAGATAATGGCTATAATACTAAAAAATTATGAAACAATTTGGTACTAGAGGGAGGAGTTAGGTGCCATATCTTAGTAAATTTAGTAATTATAATAAATTTATATTTTATAAAATAATTTAAAACATTCTGGAAGAAAAGAATTGGCCCAGAGTGGGACTCGAACCTGCAACTCCTGCTTACCATGAAAATGCGTTATCAATTATGCTACTCGGACATCCAGTCCAATGGTTGTAACGTAATGTTATATATGTTAATTTATATTATATATACAGTAATACCCCAAACTTACGTGATAGGTGGGACAGAGCGATAACCGCGTAAGTCGGGGTATAATTTTGCATATAAATACATACAAATAACACAAAATAAATTGTAGCTATATGTCGAACACTTCCGAATATGTAAGCCGAACAATAGTGTGGGGAGAAATGAGTAATTAAGAGTTGCGTGGCGCTCAAACAAAAGACGAATCGACGAGATTTGAAAATCGCGTAACTCCGGATCCGCGTAAGTCGGGGTATTACTGTACTTTATATATATATATATATATTTGTAGCGGATTTGTAGCAATGTTATTTGTTTAGTATAATAACCAATTATGATTCTTACTAATACATACTGGAAATACAGATATATATGGATTAGTATCATAATTTATATTATTATTAATTATTGAAAACTGGTATGCAAAATAAATAAAGCAAATGAACCAATTTCCAGCACAGTTTTATAAGAAAGAAAATGTTTTCAACTGTGTTAAATGGACATCTTCAGGCTAACTGCTTTCTTTAAAATTGTGCTGGAAATTGGTTTTGTTTGCTTTTATTTATAATATTGTTCTAAATTATATTTATATTAGATTATGATATAATAACTGAATATTAATCTAATTTTGTTACCATTTATATTTAAACATGTGAAAATGTTAAATTTGTATATTTTTTTATTTAAGAGATGGGAGAAATGCATCTGAAGCAAGCTTGCTAGATAGATCAGGTTGGTGTGAGTTACTTTATTTTATTTGTTGATTCTTATATATAAAATACAATTGAACTCTCTTTCAAAAAGAAGTAAATCTAAATTTATTTATATAACAACTTCACTTATACAGTAGGTAGAAAAATCAAAAAATTTTTAAATTCTTTGATTTTATGAAAGTATCAGAAAGTAAATCAGGTGTAAAGAAAATATGCTTTAATAGGCAGAATATTGAAGATATGCTTTTACATTTGAAATATGCCTTTATATGCATTTATAACTTTTGAATTTTGGTTTGTAGAATCTTTAGATTACCAATTTTTTTTACTTATTTTAAGGAATATCAACCTAAATTCAAACATTCATTTGCATAAAAATCTGAACCCTACACTTTTATTTATGAATAATGATGAATTTACTATGATTAATTTTAATATCCAATATATTCCACTTTTATTATGTAATAGGTACATTACACATCAATATAACAAATGATATCATTTGGCAAATAATTATTATAAAGTGAATTAAAAAAATTTATTTTACAGCTAGAAATCAACAACAAGGACATCAAACATTACAAAATTATGGAGCAGTTGCAAGTAAGTTTTTGTATACATTATTATTATTATTTTTGTACTGTATTAGTCTTGGATTGTGTCCAGTATCAAATCTCATAGGTGGGTCCAAGAGCCAAGCTTGTGAGACCAGTGTGAAACCTTAAACAGTTCAGAGAAATTTTCTGACAATATGACAAGTTGTCAGAATGGTAGCTTTTTGTAAAGACATATATAAATTTAAGTTGTTGTCCATTGTCCTCATCCTTGTATATAGTGAATATAGAATAACTGCTGTGGCAAAGATAACAACAGGTATGGTATAGACTTTATTCATTTTCTGTTGACATGTTATTTCTTCAGGGAGTGCATTACATTTATTTCTTTCTTTCTATATAGCTATTTTGTAGATTGTGTAAGTTTGATAAGCATTGTCAATGAAAGAGGTAGTTTTGTGCACATTGTAAATTAGGATATTTGGTCTTGTGATATATCATTTTATTACTTTCCTGGCTGTTATATATAACAGAGGGAAAGTGGCAATCAGCCAAAAAATGACCCCCTCCAGATTTTTATATTTTTGGATTTGGGGACCTTGAAATGTCAAGAAATGCAAATATTTGGGGTTTTTTGTGTGGGTGGGCATGATTTTGTTCACAGTATTTGAGGCTTAATAACTCCTGTGCTTTTTGTTTAAAATTTCTGAAATTATGCAGGGAGGTTTGTTTATTAGGGGGCTTGATGCTGTTAAATTTCACTGATCAAAGGCCAAGGGAGTGGGGAAATAAAGGAGGTTGTGTGTGTATCCAGTAGGGTAGACAAAAATGTATAATCTGTTTCAAATGTATAAGTAGTATTGAATATTGAAAAGAACAAAATATGAAATTTAACATAAACAAATGAGAAAATAATTTTAAATAGCATAAAAAGATGTCACATCATAGTGTGTTACATGTTATTAGTCTGTTCTTCTACATTAACAAACACATTATGTTTTGTGTAGTCTGTTTTTCTGAAGGATGGTGCATTCTGGAGATACAAGAATGAACAAGAGAGAATTTTTCTTAGGTATGTATTTATGATTCAGTTTCCCTGCTACCATCCATCTTACATAATCCTTTTCCTTTGCTAAACCTATAACCAACCTTTGTTTCAGAAATAATAAGTTTGCTACTTGTTTTTTTTTTTTTTTTATGAACACAAAACAGATTGGAGTTTAAGGTGTACTTTTTAAGAATTTTGATTTATAGCATTACTATACAACTGATAGGTGTAGAATTTGTTCTGTTGCATTTTTCTTTCTTTTTCATACTACAGTCTATAGGAAAGATATCCAGAGGTCCATTTACATTCCACTTCACTCTAAAGATCCAGCTCATTACAATACTACTGCATTTAAGGCTCTGATTAAAAGAGCCTTGGATCTGTAATGTAATTGGGAATATCTGGAAGAATAATAAATTATATACCCAAACTCATTAAATATCTAATCATCGCTAAACCCGATGTAATTTATAAATAAATAATAAATAATAAATTACGTAATTTATTTAGTAATTAGCCTTAAAACTAGCCCGATGGATTTACGGCATATGTTTGGTGATCATGAAATATCTGTTAGTTTCTGTGGAGAGCAAACATTTTCAATGGTCTAAGCCACCATCATCAGATTATGTTTACTTTTGAAACTTTGAACAACTCAAATTGAATGTTTTCTTACTTTCAAAACAAAAATTTGGAATGTTATGTTGGAAATGTTAACATATTAGATGTTGCTTACTGATGAAATCTTGAAGAAGAATTGTGTCTTCTATTGGAAGTTTCATATAAGTATGTTCTTAAGCCAGATATGCCCAAATGGTTTTTAATAATTAAAAAACTATTTTTTTTTAATAGTATATCTGATCTAAAAGCACTCATTAAACACATTTTTGTATTAACAATTCAAAATTTATGTTCTAATAAGTTTTTTAAGGCATCCTGTATATAGGACAATGGGTACATAATATGCTATCACTTATCTGGTATGATATGTAACAAAACATTTTGTATGCACACTAAGATTGCATTTTTGACATCAGTTTTAGCATACTTTTAGATCTTTTTTTTTAATGAATACCCTCTTTGATAAATAAACTCCTCCTTGTTTTGAATCAGTAGTACATTTGCAGTACATTGCCTGACTGACAACTGATTTATTGTTCTTCCAAACTTTTTATGAATCTGCCATACATTATGAGTTTATATTCATAGCATATTGGCTTGTCATGAATATATTGTTCACACCTGTGTCTATCTGTATATGGCACCATTATCTCATCTATGCTATGATCTTTGATGAATGCATTTTCCAAAATGTATTATTTAGGTGAATACAGAGTGGGTGAATCTTGGCAAATTTATTTGATTTGTTCAAAGTATTATTGTCTTGAAAATGAATATTGGACAGAATAAATTCAAGTTTATTTCTTGAGTCACATCAGAAACTAATACATTGTGAGAATCTACAGGGTGTTTCCAATACATTCTTCTTCTAGGGAATGGGACTTTTCCACTGAAAAGAAGCATGCCAATAAAACACTTTACCTCATTTACTTCAACTCTTACTGATCTATTTTTCTCAGAAGCATACCAATTGGTTTCATTTGTAATTATTTCCAACAGCTTTTTGTCAAGAAATAAACTAAAAAGAGATAAAAGTGTATGTTCAGAGAAGTCATCCCTGTAGGCATTCTCAAAAACTTTGGCATTTGGTAATAAGTCTTCTTGGATGTAATCAAACACTTGCTTCTTTTTTAACTAGGATATGTTTTGGAGTTGAGCAAGAGGGAATTCATTGGAAGATTGGGAATTTATCTTTAGGATCCTAATCACTATCTAAATTATATGTCACAGATAGCCCAGTCTCAGTTTTCATTTGCGATGCCAGTGAATTGTTAATGTCAAGAATGTTCTCTTCTCCCAAATCTTTGTCCATTAAATTGTCACAAGCATTGTTGGGTCACAGTAATGTAATCATATCTGCTTTTATGTTCTCATTCTCTAGCATTAAAGCCTTGTGCAGAGAAACCCTCCATAAAAAAAAAGTTAATAGCTACTTATGTTTCCAATGTTCTATGTCTAGGTTAGTAGTGTTGGAAGATATCAAATACTTATTTATATTTAGTTTATTTATCACTGTGAAACCTAATACACATTATACAACTTTGTATACAGGTTAACAACACTTGTTAATAAGTACTGATAAAATATTGTTCATACATTCTAAAAAAAGTTTAAATCTTTAAGCACAACTGCTATTCGAATCTCAGAACTTTTAACCTGAAGAAGACCGGAAATAATGGTTGAAAACGTTTGTAGTATTTTAAAATATTTTACTGATTATTTAAAGGTTGTTGGGAGTTTATTTTACATTATCCAACTGTTATTATAAACAAAAATTCTGCTAACAAAAATTTATGTTTAATCATTAACTTAAAAAACAACATAACTTGTAAAGCACACATCATATTCTTCCAATTTTCTAAAATCTAATAGTAAATACTTAATAAAAATCTTTGATGTGTGAACAGTCTGTCCCACTGTGTTCCATTCCCTAGAAGAAGAATGTGAACAGTTAATTAATTAAACTAGTAACTGTCAGCTACAGGACAGACACTTAAACTAACTAGAATGAACAATAATATTACTGTCTTCTCACTCAGAGAGACATGTTCTGACATTTCAGATGTAATGAGATAAAAATATTTTAGATGAGTACAGTACTACATATAGATCATTGGGCATATTTGGGTTAATGGCTCTCATTTCAATAAACTTTTGGCAAATATAGTGAATGGGGAATCATAGAAAGATGATTTCCACTAGAGAAAAGCAGAAGGCGGTCTCCACTATATTATAGATTAGAAAGCAGGTTTCATTAAATACATGGAGAATCTTGACATGGTTAAATTTCTTTGTAAAAGAAATTTACCCATGTTTAAATTTAAAGAAATGTCAAGATTCTCCATGTATTTAATATCTTGACATGGTTAAATTTCCATGTAAAAGAAATTTAACCATGTCAAGATTCTCCATGTATTTAATGACATGGAGAATCTTGACAAGAATCTTGATATGAATCTTGACATGGTTAAATTTCTTTGTAAAAGAAATTTAACCCTGTTTGACTGTTTAAGGAATTATAGAGGAAGCAAGGAGAAAAAACTGGAATCTGTTAAATCCCTAGAAACGATAATGGAATACAAGAAATCCTATATAGGTGTAATTTATAGTTTTCTATGAGTCAGAGAATACAAAGATGCAACAAAAAACTACTGCATTAGCATAGAAAAGGGTGAAAGAAGGAAATATGGTACAGTGAAATAGAGCCCATATACTGCAGGAAATTAGAAAAAAACAGAAAGAACATAGCTGATGTGAAAAGTCTTTGGATTTTTAAGGAAGATCTATACAAACATATAATTAATGTGAAGGACACAGAAACCCTTCCTAATGCATGAAAATGGCATTTATGGCATATGATATGTTCAGAGTGCACAATGGAAGATGAGCAGGATTCCTTTACTGGACTTATAATGGGACTCCTTTATTTGTTTTATTTTGATTATTGTCATTTGTGTGTTTTTTTTTTCTAGTAAATTTTATCATGGAATTTCATAGTTGTGTTCATAGCCATTGATGATTTTTGAATTATTGGAATTTTGTGGATGTGTTCAAATTTAAGTTTTTTGTGCTGCTTCTGGAGACAAGCTGTTTAGCTCAGTAATTTTAGTTTTATAATTTAATTTTAGTTTAGCCCAAGTAGTCCTACTAAGGCATTTTTTTTAATATTTCTGTATTCCTAAAGAAAGCAATGTGGAATCATTTTGTTTAAAATAGTTCATGCTTTGGGTATTAATACAGTTATAGAGAAGTGAATAAATTAAACATTAATATAACTAGTAAAAACGGGTAAATAACTGGAATGATAATTACATTTAAAATTTACAACAAAATTTTAAAAAATTTTTCACATGAAGTTATCAGAAGAAAAAACATATGATGATGAAAAATTTCATCTTTCTTCATCTTATGTCCTTTTCACACCTAAGGAACAATCAATCTTATGGTGGAATCATCATTTTATTTTAGGTTCTTATTCACCTCAATATGTAAAACATAAAAAAATTCCTGTTGGAACTGAAGAAGCTGTGTTTTCTTCTGTTAACTTCTTGTGAAAAATATTTATAAAATTTTTTTTTGCAAATTTTAAATGAATAAATTACAGTTTTATTAATAACTAGTAGTTTTATAAATTATGTTATAACTTTATTTTAATGTGATTATGGAAAATATTATACTATAAATTTTTAGTTACAAATAATGATGGAAACAATGATACTGGTGTTTCAAGTGTTGTTTCTGCATCAACTGATGGAAATGATTCTGATTCTTCACTTGATGAAACTGATGTAGATATGTTACATGATGTCGATGAAGAGAAAGATGTCTTTCGAACCAAGGTAAATATTTAAAATTTTATATTTCTTACAAGGAGAGGGGCAGATGTTCTGATCTGAGAATATAGTGAAACTTGGTGAGCATATATCCCTAAACAGAATAGATCCTAGTCCAAATAAGTCTTACTTCTTAATTGTTTCTGAAAAACAGTCATCTGAAAATTGAGTGCTTAGCTTATAAGTCTTTGGTAGTTTCACTGCTTCCTGTAATGGCAATAGCCAAGCAGATGAGATGCCAGGCACTGGAGCTACACAATGTAGGTTCAAACCTTTGCAATTTTAGTTTTTTTTTAATGTGTAATGAAGTTAAAGTATTATTTTATTGTATATTATTAGCATTTAGCATTATTACTCATGTTTATATATGATTTCATGTTTTATAAGCTTTAAATGTGAATAATAATAATAATGCTAATGATACAGTAAAATAATAGAATAATTTCATTACACATTGAAAAAAAAGCTAAAATTGCAAAGGTTTGTACTTACCTTGTGTAGCTCCAGTGCCTGGCATCCCATCAACTAAGTTATTGCTGTTACAAGGAGTAGTGAAACTTCCAAATATTTTTAAGAGGCATGTTTTTCAGAAATGCTTGAGAAGTGGATCCTATTATTTTGACTTAGAGCTGTTTATGTTTAGGGCTATGTGCTCACCTAGTTTTGTTCAAATTGGAAACTTGAATATTCTGCCTTCTCTTTGTTAGAAGAATAGTTTTCTCAGTGAATGATTGAATGAAGAAGTTTCTTTTTTCCTAGAAAAAATTTAGATGATTTTTTTAAAAATAAAATATATTTATTCAGTTAATAATATAATTTCCATCATTTGCAATTACATTCTTCCAAACGTTTACAAATATATTGAATTCATTTATGTAGAAACTTTATGGTTTTGACTCGAAAAATTATTGTACATCATTGATGAGTTTCATTCAAAAATTTTAAATTTTTACTGTTTAAATCATTTTAAAATGATCTGAATAAATGAAAATCATAAGGCACTAAATTGAGCGAAATAGGTAATATTAAATTTTTCTTATTTGCATTATAGTCTTTTAAGTTTCAAAATCAAACTTGTTTAGTGTTTTTTCATAAAGGTACTAAAGTAGAAAAAATATTTGAATAATTTACTTTACTGCTTAAAACTTCTTTTTTTCACTTTAATACTTATTTTATTTATTAATACAAGGCAAATTTGCTCTTATGTATGAACAGGACAGATGATAAAATAATATAGAAACAGTAACTTACAGATCTTTAATACATTGAATACAACAATTATAATCCTTAAACATAATTTGTTTTGATTAGAATACAATTTAAAAAAATTGTAAATCTATAAATTTTCATTGTCTCTCCTTAATCATAAAAATAGAGTTAGATAGATGAAATCCAAGACCAGATATGGAAACAGGATGCCCCAATTAACTATATACAAACTTTCGATGCAAACCTGAAGTCACATTATTTCAATTCAAACCTTTTCCCCTGAAAACAGTTAGATAGATGACCGGCATGACTGTATTGTTAAAGGAAAAGCATGATATATAGGGGCAAGACACTACAGTACTCAAGTGTAGAGAATGTATTTTAAATTAAACTAGCTTACCCGTCACGCATTGCTGCGATCTCAGAAGAAAGGAAATTCAAGCAAATTCGTTATGATAAAATTCAATTTACATTTCATCATTTTTATTGAAACTTATTATTATTATTCATTTTCATCGGAAAAACATTTCAAAGTGTCATTTCAATTCTATTTATTTATTGGAGTGTTTGTGGATACACGATACTTTTTGTTTTTCTGTCTGGTGCGTACACGAATAAATCGGAAGGTTTTCCGATGTGTGAGACGGCCACATTCAGTTGTCCATGCGAGAAGCACGGATTCTCCAAATTTAGCCCACACACTAGCAGCGATTGTCAGAAGTGCGATATTCCCCATTTATATATATATTTTTAATCTTTTACAATTTTAATTATTTAATTGCTCCTTCCTCTCTTCCTTGGCATGTTGTGACATTTCTGATAGTTGGATAATAAACCGTTTTATTGTAATTTGTCTTTTTAAATTATTTTGAGTCAATATTAAAATTTGGAAAAGGGGGGATACCTAGATCAGTAAAATATGCGAATTTCTTCCTACAACTTTGGTTGTTGTTTGGGGTACAGTTAAGGTTTTAACGAAGATTGAGCGAATACATAATTAGCAAAAAAAGTTGAAATAAAGTGATTAAACAAAAATAATTACAAATATCGTAAATAACAGTTCACAAATGCATATATAGAGATATTTTTTGAAGGGGGGAAATGGTCTTCTCAATTTGAAATCTATCGAACACACAGTGCTCGAATGCTCGTATAAACGTGCGCCATCTATTGTAGGATAAATGTACTATGCCAGAAACCTTCGTGGGAGTGTATTAAAAAACTTCCCAAAGTTTCATGGCAATCGTACTATGCCAGAAACCTGCGTGGGAGTATACTAAACAACTTCCCAAAGTTTCATGGAAATCGGATAAACGGTGTGATAATGCATGAAGGACATAAGACAGACACACAGACAGACATACATTCATTTTTATATATATAGATAAATTAAAAATATGATTAAAAATTGCAACCTGGCATTGTGGCAATGTCACAATAAATAAATGCTTGTTTAAGTGTTCTAATTATCATTAATAAAATAAAAATTATACTAATAAGACTGATGTTGAGCAAAGATGGTAAAATCAGAAAAAAATAAATATTAAATATTAAAAATCTAATATTAATAGAAATAAAACATATGTGAAAATTTGAAATGAATCAAGAATTAGCCAAAAATTGGCATTCGTGTTGAGGTCAGCACCAATCATGTATGATTAAAGTAATGTTTTTATAACTGATGAAAAGTACACACTGCTGGCTGAAATAAATGAAAAATACATTATAATTACAATAATTTACATTTTAATGTAAAGTAATAAAATGTATAAAATATTGAAGAATCATTAATTATTAGAACAGAATTCTATTCCAGAAGCATACATTTTTTTTTAATTAGAACAAACTACACTGTTATTTGGTGTAGAAATTATTTACTTGAAAAATTTTTAACTGAAAGCAAGTTCTTTTGACTTTTCAAAGTGCATATATAATATTCAAATTACAAGTTTTTAAAAAGTACATTAAAAGATTACAAATGTGCAGTTTAAATCTTAGCATGTAATTTTAACAGAAATTCAAACAGATGCAAAAAATTCTTTAGATTTAATTTAAGATAAACAGGAAGAATTTAATTAATGATTTAAAATCATTTTTTTCATACTTTTTCAGCTTGGATTTATTTAAGATAAATAAATTTTTGGTTTATTCATAAACTTGCTTCAGGTTCAATATTAGCATTCAAAAAATGCATCATTCAAAATTCCACAGACATATGTTAAATGTATTAAATCTATGATGTTAATATTTAAATATAAAATATTCAATCCATAAAAATAAGTAAATACAAATTAAAATACAAAGTGAAACTTAAATATTGCAAAATTATTATTGAATATAATTAAGCACTAATAATTTGCACTTTCTCTCTGTACAAAGTTGCCTCTTGTTTCTAGGGGTTATCAAAGAAAGACCAAATTATTTGACTTCTCTCCATACATGATACCAGCTACTTATTTTTAGCCTGTGAGATGTAGAATTTTAAGTAATGGTTTGTGACACAATAAAATCAATACAAACAGATATATTCAAAATGACGACAGAATCTTAACAAGTAACTAACACACGACCCATGATGCCAGCCAAGGAGCAAACTGCTGACAAACACTCAATCAGGATACAATAAAAATAAACAAATAACTTAAAAATGACTTTGCAATATTTTAAATAAAACCAAAGGCTTAATCTATCATGAGGACAAGAAAAATGGACTAAATACTTAACATTAATTATAGTTTTAATAATCTTAAAATCCTCTTGCATCTTAGAATTATTGATAGAGGGTAAAAGTTAAGGATGGAAAGAAAAGTGATGGAACATAAAGGGTATCCAAGTCTGTTGTTGGATTGAGTCCTTTTCAAAAATTGGGAGAACATGCTATCTATCAAAAACCTGAATTGGGAAGTCTTCTTTTGAAAGAGCATTCAAAAATCCACAATGTCCTACAAAGTGTTCAGTCTTCTCAGGTTCTTAGATTGCAAAGGTCTCTCACCATATAATCACCACCTCCCTGCTACACTGGACCAAGCATCTTTTTATCTTCAGCCTCCATCCAAAAAGTGTTTCTTTGAGGTTCCTTCTCTTCTTTTTAAGCTGATCACAAAACTGACCAGTTTACTTTGACAAAAGAGAGCTTTACCCAGAAGTGGAGTTGATTCCCCATTGACAAAGAAGAAAGATAGCTTTAAGATAGTAGAAGGAAATAAAAAAAGATACGGGGGAAAGAAAATTAATGTTAGAAAATATAAATTATGGCATTAAAATATTAATTATGGCATTAAAAATAATTAATAATTATGGTATTTGCACAACCTGCTGTTCCATATTAAGTGGTTGTTACTCTATGTGTAGTTTGTACTAGTCTCTACCATTTTTACTAATGACTAATTTTAACTAATATTTTAATGTTTGTACAAATGTTTTTTCTTTGATTGTTATAATTAATTACAACATGCATCCTTTTTTTGTAATTTAAAGTCTTTTGAATAGTGTAAAAAAATATTTATTACAGAGAATTTCTTAAGATGTGTACCTTAGATGACATGTAGTACAGTATCTTAATGCAGTAACCCAAAAAATAACATAAATTAAGATACATAACAGTATAAAATGATGCTTTTTTTAATACATTAATTATCACTTTTATAAAGCTTCTAATTATATCATAATTTATTCTTTCCAATTATATTAAATATGCTTGTTTGATTTATATGCCATTATGAAAATTGTGAATATTTTCAATTTTTAGACGTTTTTATATGTAGCTGATTTGGCAAGGAAGAAAGAAAAGAAATTGAGGAAAAAAACTAAATTGTATACTTTGTAAGTATATTTTTTAATACAAACATAATATATTTCTATATATGTATGAGTGTAAGAAGAATGTGTAAAGATTTATTTAAAAATCATAACTTTCAAAACATAATAATTATTATTATTATGTTGGTTGTGGATTGTATTTTATCCTATTGATACATATTCACAGTGCTATGTCAGATCAAGATGAAGAGATAGCTACCAGATAAAAATTATTTAGTGTGCTATTGATTTATGTCTCTCTGCTTAAGAATTTCTTGACTATATGACATGCTTATTATCACTACTTTCTGCAATCTGATGTACATTCTGTCAAATAAATACTAGGAATTGTTAAATAAAATACAAAATATTGGTTTAATCATCCAAATTTATTTTGTTGCCTTCAAAATAGGCCCTGTTTGATGCAAAACACTTCTGCCAATGAACAATTCATTTATCAAAACACTTATAAGCACTTTTTGGTATGGCCTGCATCTCCCTCTGTGAATTTTGTTTCATTTCTTCAATTGACTCAAAATGTTTTCCATGAAGTGGTAATTTGAGTTTAGAAAAGAGGGAAAAGTCATATAGGAGTTATATCTGGTGAATATAGTGCTTGATTGATGACATTTATTGCATTTTTGGTTAAAAAATTGCATATAAGGGTTGATGTGTGAGAAAACACGTTATCGTGATGCAACATCCAAGAATTGTTTTTCCACAAATTTGGCCATTTCTGGCAAACATTCTCTCTAATGTTTCATAATGCCCAGATAATAACATTTGTTGACTGTTTGTTCCTCTGGAAGAAATCTAAGTGGACAACACCATGATAGTCAAAGAAAACAGTCAACATGTCTTTGATTTTTGAGTGACTTTGAGATTGTGTTTTTTGGTTTCGGCTCATTCTTGAAGTGCCATTCCGAAGCTTGTTGACTGGTTTGCATGTTACACTCATAAACCCACATCTCGTCACCTGTTATGATGTGTTTCATGAATATAGGGTTTGAATTAGCATTAGGTTGCTGAAGACTTGCTTGAATTCATTCAAGCAAGACTTCAGCAACCTTTTTCCAGTGCTCTCTTCGAAGAAAATTCTGCTCCTTCAAATCAAGTCATGCTGCGACACGTCTCATGCCCAAAACATCAACTAAAATGCTGCAAACAGATTCATGAGACATGTTTAGATTATGAACCATCTCTCTCAAGCTTAAATGATATTTTCCATTATCATTTCCTTCACTTTATCAATGTTTGTGTCAGTTAAAGATATTGAAGATTGACCAGAACAAGGCACGTCTTCCACTGCTTCTTGGCCATTTTTAAATTGCTTTGTACCACTCATATCCATGTGTTTTGGATAAAGCTTACTCTCCATAGGCCTTCTGCAACATTTTCAACAACTCAGCACAACAAATTTTGTTGGCAACACAAAATTTTAGACAAACTCTGTTTAATATTTTTGTCCAGTTTAAAAATTACAAAGCACACTTCCCATTCGATGACAAAACCAACATTTGTAAATAAACTGGTTGACAGATGGCACTACAAATTCATGTGACAATTAAGTACACTAGTGCTAACTTACAGCAAAAAGTTTGTTTTCATATCTTTTACACAGGCTTTTGAAATGGACAGTTCCTGGTATTTGAAAGAATGTATGTAATGTTATTGAGCACATTTTTGGGAGGAATGAAAAAAAGAACACACTAAAGTATTCACATGTATTCTGTTTTATTTAATAGGGCATTAAGTAAAATATTTTTCATTTTAAATAAATTCTGTATAAGCTTTGTGTGTAATCATGTGTAGCACCTAAAATATCCAGGCAGCATTCAACTTTGCACTATGTATTACAGAGCATTTCAGCTGTTATTCTTCGATGACTTCACCAATTCATCTTTTCAGTTCTTCAGTGTTGCAAACCTCTGTTGTGTACATCTTGTCTTTGACAAACCCCCAAAGAAAGAAATCTGTTGGTGTAATGTTTGGGAATCAATGTGGCCAGAAAATTGGTTCTCTGCAGCCAATTCATCAAGCAGGAAATTTTTCCTGTAGGTAGTCCCAAACAATTAAACCCCAGTGTAGAGATGCCTTATCTTGCTGGTAGTAAATGTTCAGTTGTCAGTATTCAATTTGTGGTATCAGCTGCATAACTCTACAACATATCAAGGTATGTAGTGCTAGTCACTATATACTTGGGAAAGAAGGTTCCCTAATTTTCCATCATAGTGTCACCTATATTCAGTCAAAGTCAGCACAAACTTTTACAGGTACTCTGTCATCTGAAACAAAACAGAGGTCACTATGTTTGTCTGCTAAAATTCTTATTTGAAAATTATCTGAAATTCTTGAAAAAGTATAATAAGTATTTGACTTTTCCATCAACCTCTAATTGATCCCTCAAGTTCTATTGACCATAGATGGTCTATATTAAACCTGTTGGAATTTCTGATTTAATTGTTAAATGTTTGCTGATATAAACATTTATAAGTCTGATTATTATATTAAAGCCAAATTATTGCCAGATTAAATCAAGTTATATTGTCTTATTTAAATTGGCAATTGTTTAGCTTCAATGTTTGCTAAGATATGAAAAAGTAAACTATCAAATGGACATTGGAAACTTGATTCTTTTTATTTTTGTAAGTTAACCAATGTCCAATTTTATGCTATGTAGTTAAAAAGTATTTTATGCCAGTTTGGTAGATCTGAATACATTTCTGATGAGTATTTGTATTGTGTATGAATTTTTTGATTTTATGTATAAATTAAAATAATTATTATTTGCAGCATGTAATTTTTAAATTTTAGTTAAATATATTTGTCATATTTTTATCAAGAATTATAACACAAATTATAATTTTCAGGAATTTGTTAACTATTGCCGTGTTCTATGGAGTTCCTGTTTTACAATTAGTATATACTTATCAAACTGTAAGTTTTAAATCTTTTAATTATCCAAAATTCTTTGTGTGTATGTAATATTTACTCTGTAAATTTCATTATGAACTTAAACCAGTAGCTTGTTTTTGAATATTAAGTTGCTTCAGAAGTAAACAGATCTAATGATTAATAGAAAAGTAATTCTCAATCAAAAATATAATATACAGTAGAGCGTCAATTGTCTAAACTATTGATGAACTAAAGTTGACTTCAGAGTACCCATTCCAGAAATTACGAAAGTTTTACATAACAACAACTATCTGTGATTTTCTGTAGACTTGCTATTGAGATATTGTGTTATTAACAGTAGTGTTAGCTTTATTTCAGTACAATAGAAAAGCATGATTAATTAATAAGTTTTTGTAGTTTCTAATGAATCAAACGAATTTACTGCATTAGAAACAGTATTAATATGGTTAGAAATACAACCTGAAGCAATCTTTTAATTTTCATGATGATGAAGCAAGGTATTTAGCATAGTTAAAAAAGGAAAAAAAAAACATGTAAAACCAAACAAAATAAGTGACTTCTTTAAAAAAAACACTGTAATAAAAAATTTTTGTGTGAGTACTGTAGTTTATTTAATATTAGTTTAATTATTATGTATTTTTTACTTTTAATTTAAGATTTCGTCAGTATGTTGTAGATTTCAATGAAAGACTGGGTCTTGTTAGATAATTTTTTCATTATTTCTTATCATTTGTGTGTATTAAATTGCTATGCCATAACATTATTTTACTATTATACTATAGTTAAAATTAATAGTGTTACTATACTTCAGGTATTTATCTTTTTATTCTTTTCCTACCAAGTGTGATTGGATCTGAAAAAAATCTGTTATCCAAATTTCTCCAATATCATTCATTTTGGATAATTGATGCTGTGCTGTATATATATTTTTCAAAATACTTGCAATAAAAATGAACCTAATATTTTTACAAAACAGTAAAAATAAATGGTGATTTGAATGATGTACAAGATGATTTGAATGATGTACAATGGAAGAACACAAATTTCAAATGATCCAATTTAAATATTTGTGTGCCTGCTGATTGATGGAGATGGTCTTCATATAAACTCATGTAAATACTGGTGTTTGAGGGGTGGAGGAATACTTTCCATATGTTGGGGAAAGTGTCATCCTATTTGAAGTTGATGGCCTTCTTATTCAAAACAGCCTTGTATATTTCCAGCATTTCAAGGTATTGAAGTTGTGCTCTGTTAGACACTGTATGGAAGATCCTGGTCCTATCTAAATGGAACTCCACATCTAGCTAGGTCCACGGCATAAGATGGTAGTGCAGTGGAGTGGCAACCCTTAGAAATGTTCTTTTATATGGAAGGAAATCTGTCTGTTGACAGAATGCCTTCTGCATTAAAGAACATCAATTGAGTTCAAAGATACTCCTACTCTAACTTCTTACTGGTTGTATGGTCCATAAGGGGGATAGAGTAAATGCTTGGCAAGTCTTACCAGAATGGTAAGTCTTTAGCATTTATGATGAGAGAAAACACATAGGGGGCTCCCTTAGTAGGCCAGATTGATGTTGTTACATTATATCTCTGTGTATAATGGCAAGAACTTTGTTGTATGTGACAACTGTGTATATTTCCAAACTTGGAGGGTTTCGGGTGCTGCCATGTTCATGGGTATCATGATGTTCTATGAGCTCTTAATGATCTTCCTAGGATATCCATGTTGGGCATCCTGGCAGGTGATAGTATGAAATTCCTGTATCTCTATCGCAAGGTTCAGAAATGTAAAAGCAAGCTCTATAGACTAAAAGTTAAAGGTGATCTTGTATGAAAAGGGATCTTGTGAGGGTGATGGTATGAATAAGGAATGATAAATTTTTTGTACACCTCTGTGACTGTGTCCATTGTTCAGCCAGATGTCAGTATCCAGGAAGTGCAGTCCTTTGTGGCTGTATTGTTCAAGGTTGAAATGTAACCATAAACATACAGCAATTAATGGATAATTTTAATAAACCATACTCATATGTATGGTTTATTAAAATTATCCATTAATTGCTGTATGTTAGGTTCATTGTGCCAAAGACTAAAGGTTTCATCGACATATCCATATAAAGGACCATTATGTCATAATACTTAGTGAAGATAGAGACTGCAAGCTTAAGAATGACCTGTTCACACAGTATCCAAAAGGGGGCTTTCCATTGGGACACCTTTGTGTTGTAGATAAGTAGTCCTTTCAAAAGTAAAGGATATATGGCATAGAATATCCACCAGTTTTAAGATTTTGGAGTAGAAATTGGATGGATTAGTGATGTTATTCATTAACTAATTCCATCAAAAACAATAAAAGCATAAAAATATAACAATAAAAGCATAGCTTATATTGTTATATAAGCTATGCTTTAATATAACAATATATAAAATTAGTTACACGAAACATTTGAAAATAATATACCATTATATTACCATTATGCCATTATATACATTATATTACCATTATATACCATTATATATAATGGTGTATAACATTACATTCTGCAATATTATTTAAATTTAAAGTTTAAAAGGAATTTTTAAAAAGAATTTATATTCTCAATTTTTGCACTTTTTGTTTTATGGATTTAATCGATTTGGCAAGTGAGCAGCTCATATTATGTCCTTGATTTACTTAGTTCATTTTTGCCCAGGAAGATTTGTGTTTTGACTGATCTTGTATTCTGATGTTTAATATATACTATAGAAATAATATGCAATAAAATCACTTAAATTTTGTGCTACAAGAGAGACTAATAATACTGTTTTTGGTTCTAACAATGTTGAACTTTGTAGAAATAATGTTATTTGTAATCCTATAATGTTAAATACAAAAGAGATACTTTCTAAAAATTCTCATTATAACAATAAATCTCTACAACAATATTTTTTCTTGTTTCACTGAATATTGCTGTAGAGGGATTTGATTGTAGTTGATTGGAAAAATATATTCTACATGCATCACAATTGAAGTTTTTAATTTCTAGGTTCTGAATGTTACTGGGAATGAAGACATATGTTATTATAACTTCTTATGTGCACATCCTTTAGGTGTTTTCAGTGATTTTAATCATGTGTTTAGTAATATTGGATACATCATGCTTGGAATTTTATTTCTTTTATTAGTGTGGAGAAGGTAAGTTTTTAAATTATCAAAATGTTATTTATAGTTTATTAAATCTTTGTATATTTTGTGTTAGGTAGTTTTACTTTTAAAGGTCATATTTGACTTATAACTATAGCCTGTTTTATACTGTTTAGAATGCTTTTATTTTTATTTTATAAATTATTTATTTTATGAAGTGAAATAAAACATCATAATTTTTTTCAAATAACCCACAGGCTTTTCTGTTTAAAAGCCAATATAATATCATGTATGGGTTGTGATTGTTCAATAAAGTGTATTATTTGTTGAGTTCAACATAAACTTGTCAGGTTTTCCTTCGTTTAAATTTACCAAGAGTATCATTAAAAATAAGAGAATTATTTTTATTACTGTAAGTACATTCATCTTCCATTATTATTTTTTCTGAGATCACAAGATACACATGTGTGCACACCAACACAAGAAAAACCACAGAATTTTGTTGTTCTTGTTGTTTTTGGAATTGTGAACTTAGGACTAATTTTCCATTGAGAAATATAAAAAACCTAGAGGATTGAAAGTTGACCAATTACAATACTTGACCTGGAAAGTAATTATTAGAATAGAAATGAAACCTTCACATAATCCACATCACCATATACAAGATGATTCAAAAGTTGTATCATAAATGACTCAACTGACCAGGTAACACAAGTATATCTTTATTAAACACCAACGGAACATGTACATCTCTGGCTCCTTGGAGCTACAACATGGCTGTCTTTTTTGTGCCACAACCCATTCAATCCATGTTGCCACTTCAGCACATACACAGTTAAATTTAATTACTATTTAAATATCAATGTATTTTACATCACCCCTTTTTCTTTTTACTGTTCATAATTCAAATATCACTACAGATTTTGGGGAGTTTATTTTTCAATTTTGCAGGAAAGTTTATTTGCTTTTATTTTTGTTTATCTTTGTTTTCTATTGTACAGAAAAAGAATACAATTATCTGGTATATTATGGTGATGATCCTAGTTCAAATGTATCTAATAAAACGTTAAACTTTTTATAAGAAAGCCATACTTAATTTTGCTTTTGTGGAAAAGTTAAATTAAGATATTAAACTGATTTTTTTCCATATTTTTTTTCAGAGATATTCTACATAAAAAAGCTGTAGACTCTAATTGTCATTTAGAAAAGGTAATTTATATTTGTGTGCTTTAATATTTATCATGGTAATCAGGGGTCACCCTGGCTTTTTTTAAAGTAATTGTCAATCCATTCACCAAAATAGAAAGTTATTTGCCAGATTACTTTTTCACTTACTGTGAAATTTTGTACCAACCAAAAATGAAAGGATAACTGTGTTTTTAAAAGTTCTGTGTTTTTATATTGTCAGTTCAATATAAAAACACAGAATTTTTATGACAGTTTCTCAAGCAACTTCATTTTTGTTTAATAGTAAAATTGTATCGGACCAAGAGTGATTTGTATTCTGTGATGCTCTTCTTTACCGAGTGACTGTTTCTTTTTTTACGAATTGCTCTGCAGTTATTTTCCACTCCAATCAACAAATGAATAAAATGTTTTGTAAATTACAAATTTTGCAATAGGCAGCGTGACCCTTGGTAATTATCTTCCTCCTATTGTTATATGTACTCTTCAAACCTGTTAACCAGAGTGGTTCCTTTTTAGATTCATGAACGTTTTTGTGCCCCTCCTGGGCTTTTCCTCAGGCTTTACACAATTGGCCATTACTGTTCAAATAATGATAATGGTCAATTGTGTAAAGCCTGAGGAAAAGCCCAGGAGGGGCATGAAAACGTTTGCGAATCTAGAAAAGGAACCACTCCAGTTAACAGGTTTGAAGAGTACATATAATATTATATTCTGGTGTGTATAGTGATTGTATCCTCCTATTGTGTTTGAAGTCTATATAAATCCATTAAAGTCATATTTCACTTAAAACTTCTTTAATTTCTTAAATATTTATTATAATGTTATAAAAATTAATATCTTGTACAAGTTTTATTTTGCATACTATTTAATTTTTTTTATTTGTGTTTTGTTATATTTATCACATTCAAGTCTATATGTTCCACATTTAATTTAATGCTTAATAAGACAGATTAAAGAACTTACAACTTAATTTATTTATTTCTTACTGGTTAGAAAAGAAATATGACAATCAGGAATACAAAACATCTTAAATTTCCAGCTTAAATTTAACTTTTCTTGTTAATGTTTATGACCCAATTTATAAATTTTACTCAGGCACCAATAGAACAAAATATCATCACAAATTTCTGTAAGGCTTGGTACCATTTTATATGCTACAAGAGAAAGCTATGGTTATTTGAGGAAACTAAAGTTTAATTAATGAAGAAACATTTTTGCACATTTGTTTGGTTCAAATAAAGGTTTGAAACATTTCTTCATTAATTAAACTTTAGTTTCCTTAAATAGCAGTATTTTTTTTCCTGTAACAAACAATATATTTTTGATTGTTGATACAATTATAAACTTATATTATTAATCAAAACTATGAAACTATAGATACATGAAGAATAACTACAACAACATTAATGAATAAAGATGAAAGAATAAACTTAAAACTTAGATGGCTGCTGAAAAAATTAAAATTAAAAGTTATGATTAATTAACAACAAATTTATAATATTGTGAGACTAAATAGTAAAATATTTACCACACACTACACAAAAGCCTGGGAACATTACAATTGAATAGAAGGCCACATATATATCACAGTACAGAAGGCCACATATATATCACAGTACAGAAGGCCACTATATTGAATACATGTCATATTGTTAGGAAATTCCTAAATACAGACACACACACTGACACACTTATTCAAGTTTGTCTTATTTTGGTTGCTATGCCTTGACTCTGGTCCAGCATAGTACATAGCAACTGGTGTCATCTCAGTATAATTCACTAAACCTAACATAATAATAATAATCATGTCAAATAAGCCACTAATTGTTTTATTGCCCTGTAAACGAAAAGTCTTTCATCAGTCAAATTACAATGTTGTTATTTTATTGTACTCTGCAGAATGTTTTCATTAACATTTATTTAAAAACTAGTTTTGTGAGATTGATTAATTTTATATTTTAGTCACAATTTAACTGGCATGCCAGTCTCCCCAGTTATATGCAGCATGCCAGTCAACCTGCAAAAATATGGTAGAAAAGTATCATATATACTGCAGGATAATATAATGTCCAATGTCTAAAATAACTCAGAGTTTAAATGAGGACAGAATGCTTTAATTTTCACATGTCTACAAAAATTTATGGGTTGGCAAAAATGTATGAAAACTGGAATGCCAGTTTTTCATGATTAACATTTTCTCAATGAGCCATTCTAATAGACAAACTCTTAAATTTCAAAACAAGCACAAATACATTCTCTTGGTGAATTTCTCAATTTAGTTTTTATTAATCAAATTAAAAATAGATTTCACAAGAAATACTTCATTTGCAATACATACAGTTTACATTTATTTCTTTCTCAATTTAAAATCATCAAGAAAAATAGCTCAGTTACTATGTAAATTTATTTTTAATGCTACTAAGAAATAATATATTTTTATTTTAGTTTTATGGAATACCACAACATTTTGGATTATTTTATGCCATGGGATTAGCTCTTATAATGGAAGGAATATTGAGTGGATGTTACCATGTATGTCCTAATTATTCCAATTTTCAGTTTGGTAAGTAACAATGATAAATTTTTTTGTAGTTTTGTAATTTTATGTTGGTTTAATTTTAATTCCAGATACTGCATTCATGTACGTGATTGCCAGTTTATGTATGCTAAAGATTTATCAGACCAGACATCCTGACATCAATGCACATTCTCATTCTTCTTATCTCTCTTTTGCCATTGTTGTTGTTGTTGGAGTTCTTGGAGTTGTGAGTAATAATTTTGAGAAACTATATCTATATTGTTGATAACAATAATTTTCATTTTAAAAATCTTTAGAATGGAGGTTCTAAAGCTTTTTCCTGTTGATCTATTTCCAAAATTAGATTTAATTTGCTTACTTTTTTCTACTGATAAAAAATAAGAATAAATTATTAAACTGATTAATAATAATTTTTATGTCACACCACAGTTTTAAATTAGAAAGCTAACTGAGATTTTATTAAACCAATATGTACATTTTGGGTCATATATCCTTCCACAGTTGGTTATAATTCTGTTAAAACATAAAAAGGTTGTTATAACTTTGTTTTGCAAGTCAAAATATTTCTTCTAATATATAGTATATTTTACAGAATTATCTGCCATAAAATCTAAAATTACAAATGTATAAAAGTACAATGATGTAAAATTATAACTTTCATTTTATATTAACAATATGTGTAAAATATGTCTGTTTCCTTATTTTTACAAGTACATTTACTTTATTATTTAATAAATTTTTATGTTTTAATCATTTTAATATCTTATCAGTTATTTTTGTATTTTTCAATTTGCATTTAACATTAAATTTTAATTCACAATTGGTATCCATCTTTTAGATTCGCTGACATGTAAATATGTATGTAAATCTGGAATTTAGAATGAGTAACCACATCTCATGCAATGTCATTCTGTTGTTTCTGTTAACAGGAACCAACCAAGGAAGTATATATAGCCTGAAATGTGCATATTGGTTTAATAAAATCTCAGTGAACTTTTCAATTGAAAACTGGTGTGATAAGTCCTTGAACTTTATAGCAAATTACATACTAGGATTGTTTAGTATAAGTACTATATCATCTGAATATCTTAAGTTGTTTATTCTAATTCTATTAATTTTTAATGTCTTTGTCATAGTGCATTTCCAATGCTTCTTGAAATTATAGTTTGAATATATATTGAAGAATAAAGGTGACAAAATACATCCTTGTCATACTCCTTGTTTTATCTCTACTTTGTTCAATAATGTCTCATGACTTAGTTTCAGTAAAGTTTATTACTATATGGATACCTTTATTGTCTAAACCAGGGGTGGCCAACCTTTTTAGCAGGCGGGCCAAATTTCAAAAATAATATTTCCTGCCGGGCCACACACCTAATTTTTTTTAATTAAAGTAAACAAGCAAGCGTGCTACACCTTCATCCGCATCGTTGCTTTCCAGTAGGTGAGATCGTGGTCAAACACTTGCCTGATTTAATGTAAAAAAAACACAAAAAATAGGTATATTTATTTTTTTGAAGAAAATAAAACATAACCGAGAATCATGTATTTAATAACCGAGAAACATATTTATTAGACAATTTAAAAATTTGACTTTGTTTTACAGAACTAACAAGTAAGTGCATCAAAATTGACCTGGACTGATGTTGTCGCTACACGCAAACAGTTTTCCAAATGAACATCAGTAATTCGTGTTCTCACTTGTGATTTGATATACTTCATGCGACTAAAAAGTTGTTCACACGCATACGTGTTTCCAAATAGCGTAACCATTGACAGAGCATGATTGTAAAACGCAAGATATTTATCCTTGTCCAAATACATTTCATAGAACTCTTCCAAACCTTCTTAACTCTTCTAATGTTCATTTGGTGATATTACAATAAAGTTAACATTTATGTTCATTTGACCTAGCTCCGCGGGCCTCATGTTGGCCACCCCTGGTCTAAACCTTGTTTTTGAAGTATCTGTAATAGTTTCATATGGTTTAACTCTGTCAAAAGCCTTTTCAAAATCAATGAAACTAAGATATGTATCATGTTGGTAGATATAGCTCTTTTGTAGAAGAATGTTCACACAGCATATTGCCTTTCTAGTTCCTAGTTCCTTTGCAAAATCCAAATTGAGTAGTGTGTAGATCTTTTTTCTTAATTCTTGCATATATTACTTTTTAAAATATTTTAAAAATGTGCAAAATCAAATTTTTCAGTCTATATTTGCTACATTATTTTGTATTTGACCTTTTCAGTATGGGCACAAAGGTACATTTTAGCCAATCTTTGGATATTTTTTCAGTACTGTATATTCTGTTAAACAGATCTACTATAATTTCTGTTTACTTTAAAGAATAGTTTTAGGATAGCTATTAGAATGCCCCCTTGTCTAGGTGCTTTTCCATTTTTGGACATATTTATTGCATGTTTAAACTAAGATCTGATGTTACATCTAGGATTTCTCAAACAGGATCCCGGGATCCTGGTTGTTTTTTTTAACCTGGGAAATATCACGGGAAATCCCACATATTTCTTAAAAGTTCACTTTTTTCTTATTTTGTGTTAAGGTTGAGGAAATTTCAAATAAAAAGTATAATTAATTCCTAAACTGTCAGAATATATTTGTATTTATTAATTTTAAACCTACTCATTAGTTTTTAAATTTTTGCTCGTTATGGCATGTCACAAATGGTCAATAATCAATATGTAGCTTATTTGTGGTAGGACTCTGAAAATTCTTTACTTGTCTGAACCTGTAATATCATAAATAATTGTATATATGCTGTCTTAATTTTTAACCATGCCCAGTATCTTCAATAACTGCATAATGCCAAGGTTGTGCAAATTGTGCAAGGATACAAACAAGTGTGAAGTATGCAAGTATGAACTTTTTATTCATAAATTTGATTATTAAAGACAAACAAACTGCCAAATTATTGGGCTATAAGCTTGATGTTTCTGTTAAAGTAGGCAATGTAGACAAATCAAGAATACTAGAGAGAAAAAGAAGTACTAAGTACTACAATCTCAAAAACGAACTAGAAATCTTACAGGCTATTGTTGAAAAAACAGATAACATCTGTCTTCTCTTAATTAAATGCATTAAACATGATTCCACTCACGTCAGTTGAATCGGAAAGGGCATTCTCAGTAGCAGGACTTTTCATTACTAAAATGAAAATCAGATTGAGTGATCAGAGTATTGACCATCTTGGCTTTTTAAAATCTTAATCACTCAGCAGTAAAGGACAGATATATCCATCCAGGGTGATTGTATGTCAATGGTGAAGGACGGATATATCCGTTAAATTATTTTGGGGGTATCGCCAAAAACTAGCCAAAAACTACCACAAAAAATTCACCTAAAAAATTAATTATGTAACAATAAATAAAAGACTTTTCTTTACTAGACATAACTGTTTATAAAATCTTTTTCTGAAATGGTAATGAGAAAAAACTCGCAAAAAAATACTTTAAAAATTTCCCACGTTTATTCTCCACTACTGGGGGGTAGAACCATACCTGACTAGTCCACTGTTGAAAGATTAATACAAAATATTATTGTAAATTTTTATAATATGTTTTATTTAAAAAAAAAATTACCTTTTAAGTTAGAAGTTTGATCTAAGTTCATTTTTTTAAAAATTTTCAACTCAATTGAAAACATTTTGTTGTTGTTGTTATTGTTGTATGCAGTTTCCAGCAAACTTTAATAAATTTTTTCTATTTGTGAAAATTTCTACATAATTCAAAGGTAATTTTTAATATACACTACTTTACAATAATGGACTGGACAGCAAGATGTGATGGCATAAGGTAAATAATACATGCTTTAATAGGAGGAGGGTCTCCCCCCCACATGCTGCAATTACACTAGCAACCCTTCTGATCATATTTTCAACAAGGTTTTGATGCACAGCTATGGGCATTTGTGTTCATTCCTGCTTCAAGAATGTCGCCAGCTCAGCTGTAGATTTCGGACGTGGTTCCCTGGTCCGTAAGCATCACTCTAACTTGTCCCACAAATGTTCTATTGGGTTTAGGTCAGGACTCTGAGCAGGCCAGGGAAGACAGTTGACATCTGTATCTTGATACCACTACTTGACAGAGGCTGCAATTCCATCTTTTTCCATCACGAAAAACTGGGAATTGCCAACATAAATTAATAATAATAATTATTATTATTTTGTGTTATGTCATTTCTTATATTTATATCTTGTTTAATTTTATATTTACCACTGATTAATTTGTTGTTGTTTTACTTTAAATTTTTGTTCTAATTATTTAAAAAATATTTTGAAAAAGGTTTTTTTCTGTGCATTCCAATTTTGGAATATTGTTGATGACTTTAGGCAGACCTTTAAGGTTAAAAATGTTTGTCAGAAACTTTTACATTACAAATTTTTGTTACTGGAAATTAAAGGTTTAGTTAAATGTGTTTATATTAATTCATTCTAGTATTGAGAAGAAGGGACTTTTATTTAAAATTGTATACTTTGCTAAAATTTTAAGATATTTAACTTATAATATTTTTAAAAGTAACAAAGATAAATTTAACTATTGATCGCCAGAAGATCCTTAGTAATTGTGGATAAGCTGATTTATGAGGGGAATCAGTTAATTCCGTGTTAGGAATGGACTAGGGGCTATGTGTATGTGGGTGGTGGTGTTGGAGGCAGAGAACACATGTATCTTTACATAAAACCATTTATTGAAGTGGAAAGAATTGCTTACATTAGGATGAAGATCACTTCTTCCAGTGACACGGAATGTTCTAAAGTCACTTAATTGACAGTTGATCATCATCTTACAATGATTAGCACTCCAGGCGACACAAATTTGTCATGGATCACAACTGGCGAGGATGTTGACACACTGTGGGTGTTTTGACTATCCAAGTGCAGTGACATTGTGTATATCTGTTGACTGACCGAATATGAGTGTATCATGTCCTTGAATATTGAGGATAATTCATTTCTGTTTTTCAATCAGCCATTCTGATTGGTTGATTTCCTCCTTCTGCGCTTTTCCAAGTGGTTAGTCTCTCGTTACTGAGCATAACAAGATCCCGACTCGGATCACAGGAGAGGTCAACTTGAAGCTGAATTCGAACTCCCAACTGGAGATGGTCAATTGAGGGACTACATTCCTTCTAAAATTTATGACTTGGCATTGCATTTGAACATAAACAAAATTGTATATGACTACAAACATTTCCTTTTCTTGCCATTTAAAACAAATCATTTTTTTTTTTAAATTAACTCTAATTGACCATTCTAACTGAATGACCATCTCTGGTTACATTCTTCTATTATTTATACATTCTCATGTTTTCTATACAAAAAATAATTCTATTGATATCTTTTTTTTTTTTTTTTCAAAAATATTTTAACTCAAATTTTAGTGACAGTTCAGACCTGTCTTGAACCTAACAATTGCCAAACATTGCCAATGTGTCTATTTTCAATGAAATATGTAACAAAACACACTACCTGGTTACTCTATTCATATACCAACATTGGACCTTCTTTGTCCAATGTTGGTATATGAGTAGTCTTTGTAGAAAAATTGAAACGTCTAACTTTTACCTTTACAACCTTATAAATCATGCAATTTAAAAAATTCTATAAGGATTAATGAAAAATGAATTAAACATTATGAAAAATAATTACATTATAAAANCAAGATGTGATGGCATAAGGTAAATAATACATGCTTTAATAGGAGGAGGGTCTCCCCCCCACATGCTGCAATTACACTAGCAACCCTTCTGATCATATTTTCAACAAGGTTTTGATGCACAGCTATGGGCATTTGTGTTCATTCCTGCTTCAAGAATGTCGCCAGCTCAGCTGTAGATTTCGGACGTGGTTCCCTGGTCCGTAAGCATCACTCTAACTTGTCCCACAAATGTTCTATTGGGTTTAGGTCAGGACTCTGAGCAGGCCAGGGAAGACAGTTGACATCTGTATCTTGATACCACTACTTGACAGAGGCTGCAATTCCATCTTTTTCCATCACGAAAAACTGGGAATTGCCAACATAAATTAATAATAATAATTATTATTATTTTGTGTTATGTCATTTCTTATATTTATATCTTGTTTAATTTTATATTTACCACTGATTAATTTGTTGTTGTTTTACTTTAAATTTTTGTTCTAATTATTTAAAAAATATTTTGAAAAAGGTTTTTTTCTGTGCATTCCAATTTTGGAATATTGTTGATGACTTTAGGCAGACCTTTAAGGTTAAAAATGTTTGTCAGAAACTTTTACATTACAAATTTTTGTTACTGGAAATTAAAGGTTTAGTTAAATGTGTTTATATTAATTCATTCTAGTATTGAGAAGAAGGGACTTTTATTTAAAATTGTATACTTTGCTAAAATTTTAAGATATTTAACTTATAATATTTTTAAAAGTAACAAAGATAAATTTAACTATTGATCGCCAGAAGATCCTTAGTAATTGTGGATAAGCTGATTTATGAGGGGAATCAGTTAATTCCGTGTTAGGAATGGACTAGGGGCTATGTGTATGTGGGTGGTGGTGTTGGAGGCAGAGAACACATGTATCTTTACATAAAACCATTTATTGAAGTGGAAAGAATTGCTTACATTAGGATGAAGATCACTTCTTCCAGTGACACGGAATGTTCTAAAGTCACTTAATTGACAGTTGATCATCATCTTACAATGATTAGCACTCCAGGCGACACAAATTTGTCATGGATCACAACTGGCGAGGATGTTGACACACTGTGGGTGTTTTGACTATCCAAGTGCAGTGACATTGTGTATATCTGTTGACTGACCGAATATGAGTGTATCATGTCCTTGAATATTGAGGATAATTCATTTCTGTTTTTCAATCAGCCATTCTGATTGGTTGATTTCCTCCTTCTGCGCTTTTCCAAGTGGTTAGTCTCTCGTTACTGAGCATAACAAGATCCCGACTCGGATCACAGGAGAGGTCAACTTGAAGCTGAATTCGAACTCCCAACTGGAGATGGTCAATTGAGGGACTACATTCCTTCTAAAATTTATGACTTGGCATTGCATTTGAACATAAACAAAATTGTATATGACTACAAACATTTCCTTTTCTTGCCATTTAAAACAAATCATTTTTTTTTTAAAATTAACTCTAATTGACCATTCTAACTGAATGACCATCTCTGGTTACATTCTTCTATTATTTATACATTCTCATGTTTTCTATACAAAAAATAATTCTATTGATATCTTTTTTTTTTTTTTTCAAAAATATTTTAACTCAAATTTTAGTGACAGTTCAGACCTGTCTTGAACCTAACAATTGCCAAACATTGCCAATGTGTCTATTTTCAATGAAATATGTAACAAAACACACTATCTGGTTACTCTATTCATATACCAACATTGGACCTTCTTTGTCCAATGTTGGTATATGAGTAGTCTTTGTAGAAAAATTGAAACGTCTAACTTTTACCTTTACAACCTTATAAATCATGCAATTTAAAAAATTCTATAAGGATTAATGAAAAATGAATTAAACATTATGAAAAATAATTACATTATAAAAAAATGCAGTCATCTCTCTACAATAATTCATATAGTAGTTGCTTTTATAAATAATAGTTTTATTTTTACAGTTAAATGGTTCATGGATCTTCTGGATTGTATTTACTGTTGCCCATGTATTGTGTTGTTTAGCCCTTAGTGCTCAAATTTATTATATGGGAAGATGGAAATTAAGTAAGTAACATACTTAATTTTAATTTATAATTACAGAAAATTTTAAATTAAATTAAATTTATTATAATTATGAAATATAGTACGAGATGGCAACACAACTAGAGGTAGGCACCTCTAGACAAATTATTTAATATTTAATTAATTACATAGCCATACTATAGCCTGATAATTTGGCAGTTATTTGACTTTAATTCATAAATTATTTTTTTAAAAATAGATTTTGGAATTTTCAAAAGGATGTATTTAACTTTACGTAATGATCTTATGACGCACTTTACAAGGCCAATGTACATGGTATGATTTTTATTTTTATTTTCAAATATACAAATAAATAAAAACATAACTTAAATTTCAGAAAAATAATCATATTGTTAAATGTTTAATATGAATAATAATAATTTTCAGTTTTCAAAAAACGTATAAGTTTCAGAAATTGAAGAAACTTCAAATTCAGATCATAGATTCGATTGTTGACAGTTCAAGCTGCAGTCATAACCTGTGAAATTAATTGGCATATGTTAGTGTAGGAAAGTACTTATGATCTTGCTCTAGAATTTGATGTATCTTTCTCAGAACCTTAGTGCCAGAGTAGTTGTGGTAATTAATCTTCCACAGTAACTTACAGTTTTTGTTGGAGAACTGTCTGAGCAATAGAAATTTTTTGTGTCTTTCCTTTGCTTACTTGTACACTGTTAGAAATGATGATATCAATCTTTGAGAGTTGTTTGTATAATTTTATAGAATCGAACGATTTTGTGAAGCACAGATTGACCAGATAAAGATGTTGTCTGAAGATACTATTGCTTTTCTTTTTTTTTTTTAATAAGCCTTGCCAGAAGTCTATGTTACACTTTAGGTAACCTGTTACATAAAATATTCAAGGTATATGCTTAACAATAGCACTCTATTTGCCAGTTCTCTGAGTCTCTGAGTTCACCCAGTATGCAAAGAAAGCTCAGAAAAAGAGTGTGGTACCCATTGGCAATATGCCAATTCAGGCTGATAAAGGGTGCAAACAAAAAAAAGGAGCCAAAAAGTGAACTTTGAACTACTCACTCTCTCTGATCAGCAACTACCAAGGACAAACTTCCTAACATACAGCCAATGCAATCCATGTATACTTATTATTTGAGGATCCAGCATGACCGTAAATAATATAAATTCAATGTGTGTTAGCATTTCAATGTTTTTTACACAAGTAATACCAGGCATATGATAATGTGTTACCATTTTTAAAATTGGCACATTTGTCTGTCAGGCTTTTGTTACGTATATTTGTATATTTCTAGGACCTTACTGTTATGCTGGACACTCAAATAATGAGTACACAGGGGTTGCTTTACATGTATATGTGGAATTCACATATTTGCAACCATTAAGTCTCTGTTTGTTTTATATGTTTCGAATGTTTTAAATTTAATATTTAAAAACGTTCTATTCTAAGCATTCTGATTTTGGAATTTGATTGTTCTCTAACCTGAAGCAGACCTTGGGTAAGGTCAAAAGTGTTCATTGGATGATTTATTAAACATTTTGTTACCGGATGTAAAGGTTCTTTAAGAGTTGTGATTTGTTCATGTTAAAAACAGAACAAAATTTGCATTCTGAACAGACAAAAATTTTCCAATGGATAAATTTATTTAAAAATCTAAAAATTCTCAAATTTTGAAATTGATAAAATTGGATATTTTTACTTTACCGTGGTGGTGTTGGAGGCAGAGAACACATGTATCTTTACATAAAACCATTTATTGAAGTGGAAAGAATTGCTTACATTAGGATGAAGATCACTTCTTCCANTTTTAAACTTTAATAGTTTTTATGTATTGACAATTGTTTATTAAAAATACTTTTAAAGGATCGATTGGTGCTTCTGATCATAGCAAATTTTATCAATTGGTCATGGTAAGTATTTTTTTTTATTTAAATCCCTTATAGTTTTATTACTAGCCATTATAAATCTATTCAAATTTAATACTTTCATGAATAATAATTAATAAATATTAAAATTAGATTTTCTATAATTTATGTACTTTGAATTTTCTCATAAAAATATTACAAATTTACTAAACAATGATAAAATTGAATTGAACTGTTTTATATTATATATATATATTTTTATTTTTAAGACTTACAGTTTCAAAATGTAAAATACATTCATTTCTGCTGTACTATTTGCATAATATACAAAAAATGAATAGCTATGTCAAAATATACACAACTATAATTTTATTTTAACAAATACTAATTGTAAAATAATTTCACACAGATTACTTGTTTCTATGATAACTTATTTAAATTTAAATGTGTATTACAAATTTAAATAACTTGTGTTTTACATAATGAAATATTAAATATTCTATGTTTGGATTGCAGCTGTGCTTATAGCATATATTGAGATGCAAATTATGGTAATATTAGCAACATTATGTGCCAATGACTATATAACTCTGTTGTCGTTGAGTTGCCATTTTATTCAGCACAGAATGGTGAGCCACAGAATAACACCTTTGTGGTAGAGGCTTATTTTGGAAATAACAACTGCACAGCTGCTAAGCAATGCTCATTTGAATAACACTTCAACTTGGGTCGTCATGGAAACATACCAGTTACTCACACCATTTGTTCAAATGAATGGACCAACAAAGTGGTTCATTCATTTAGATTCAATGTTTCTGCCTAATGAAAGGACTGTGATGACTGAAACTGAGAGTAATGCAATCAAATAGCATTTATGATCTTTTAGTGACAGACTGTAGCTTTGCAAATTTCAGATTGCTTATTCAAAATAATTTTGCTACAGGATCTTCACTTCTATTCTTATAAACTTCAAGATATACAAGCACTTAAGACCCAAGATTTAAGTGCATGCAAACAGTCTTGCACAATATGCTTAATATGCTCTGCAGGTTCCAGAGTTTAAAGTCATTGATATGCAGACCAGATAGGTAAATGGCACTCACTTACTATTGTTTGGCACAGAATGTAATAACTAAAAATAATGGTAGTTCACTTACATTGTGTGCTTTAATTCCTCTTCAGTACGTGCTGCAATGATACAATAAGCTGAATTAACAACTATATAAAAAAAAAACAAATATCCATTTTATTTTATGTAGTTGTTAATTCAGTTTATTGTATCATTGTAGCATGTACTGAAGAGGGGCTTAATGTAAAGCCCAAAATGCATATACATTAAGAGTGGTGCTAAAATATATTGGATGATATTCTTCCTTGATTGGCTTTGTCATTTGGAAGAAATGTGGCTGTTTACATCAGGAATCAAAAAATATATTATACAAAAATAATTATATTGTTCAATTTGAGATTTATTTTATATCTTAAAAATAACTATATCCCGGGAACAGATTATTTTTATCTCAAAATCCTGGGACAAGCAAAGGACTGGGAAATGAAAAACCCTAGATAGTACAGACCCCAGCTTGGCAGCTCTTCTCAAATGGGTTCTTATCATTTTTGATACTCAAAAAAATCACAGATCTCCTGTAAGCAATCCTGTTATTCATGTAACAGGATATTTTCCTGTAGATGTTAGCTAGCACCTTATTATACATTACGACTAAAAATGAATTGTCTTCTGATTGTAAGAGCTTAATGGGATGTTTTTGCTGTGAAATAAGAGTGTTAATTAAACACTTGGGATATCTATGTTGCCTGACTATATTTGAAATGCAATCAAGTTCTACTTTCCTGTCCCTTGCTGTCAGACAGTGGGTGTAAATCCTTCTTATAAGGGCCCTAAAAGCAGAGATGTTATAATTGAAAGGATCATGTGATTTTGAGTGGATGAAGGGTGGCACATATGAATTTTTATTATTATCAATTGCTCATTCTATAATGTAATGCCTATGCCAAGAAAGTGTAGTTAGATTCAGTTTTCTTGCTCCACTCTTAAAGAGAGGCCATATGTGTTTTTATTGGAAATTCCTATGTCAACAGGTCTGGTTTTCTCTTCCAAATACTCAAAAGTCATCTACATATCTTGCATACAACATGATGTAATTGTTAACACATAGCAAGATGTATTGTTTGAGGTGCTGTACCACTAATTCACACAGCATTCCTGAGATGGGACTACCCATACTTTCTTGCAGGAATGTAACACCTTCATAAACAAAAAAGGCTTACATAAGGTGGACTAATGCCAATATGTCAGAAATGTGCATGGAAGAATCCTCAATGTTAGGAATGAGGAAGTCATGCAATTCACAAAAACAAGGCTCTGTATGAATGGAAGGAAACATAGACTCAAAGTCACATACCATGAAATAGATGCTATCCAAGTTGTCAAGGTTTTTTATTCTGCAGATTATTCCATTTCTGGATAGTCTTCCATGTTGATGGCTATAAAAGAATTGAGTATTTACTCCATAAAAATAGATGGGGATCTAGATTTATTGATTACCAGGCATAGCTGTTTACCAGTTTTATGGAGCTTGACAAAAGTGAATATGCATGGTGAAGATGGTGCTGAGACTATGGCCTTAGATAATTTGAGTACTTTGGCTAAGAGAGAGTTAGCAAGACATTTAATCCTTGCTTGTAAATATATCAACATCCCAAAGCCTGATATATTGATACTAATCCAAACTCTCACTGTAATTAATTGGGCTATTATTATTCTATAATTAATAATTAGAAACTTAATAATTATACTTCTGCATAAATATACTATAATTAATTATTAATTATAGTATATTTATGCATTAATTATAGCATATTTATTTACCATTAATTATAGCATAATAATACCTTGAATTAGTACCTTGTTTGTATTTTCTCCAAGTAGCCGTTGAGGCCTTAGTGCATTTAATGATGTTGATGCACTCTAGTATTCCATTTTTGTAGGTGTCCCATTCCATTAGTACAATGATTTTGGATTTTTCCACTCTGATGGCTACTATACTGTTAACTCTCATCCAAATCCTTTAATCATGTGTGGCCTTCCATAGCTTTGTATCCTTATGTACACTGTCTGCATAGTTAGATATAGCAAAGAAAGTCTGTCAATGCAAGTATTCCTTTTGGATCTGGTTCAGATCTTTGATAAGGTTTTTGACATCTGGTATAATCTTGTTAAGATCACGTAATGAGGAGGAGCAAATGAAGGGCCTAACTTAATGGTGTTAATAAGTATTGGAGGAGGCTGTATGTTGTCCCAAAAAATAAGAGTATTTTGTGTTCAATGTTTGTTATGGAGTTGGAAAGTCAAAAGAGATTTTATTTTCTTATATTGTTTTTTGAGTTTCCCTGTAATAGTCTGCCAATGAGACAATGCTGGCATTGATCCTGAAAAAGTTTGGGTCCTGGTTGTAGAAATAATGCTCCAAATGAATTATAATGTTCAGTAAGGCATATCTTCTCTTAGCTAACCGTATTGCCTTTTTTAAGCATAAGCTTCCTACTACTGGAAGCAAAGTGGAACATTCAGGTGGTAAGCATATCCTATAAATTGAAGCAGGAAATAATTCAAGTGAACAGCAACTAATGAGAAAATCCAGTTTTGAAGATGTTCTGCATAATTTTACAACAGCTTTTCTCTAGGATTTGGCTGGCATAGCCATATTAATACAATTTCTACAAAACTACATAGATAACGTTTCCAACCTGATACAATGGCCATCTTCAGGTGTAATCAAAATTNAACATTAACATTTTCAACCTAATACAATGGCCATCTTCAGGTATAATCAAAATTCGAAAGTATTTTTAAAAACTTAACGTTTAAACGACAGAACGTTCAAACATTTTTACATTTAAAACAAAAATATTAGATAAATTAACAAATAAATAAGAAAATAATAAAACAAAATATATAAAATGAACTAAAACAATAAGATATAAATAATATAATAAAACAACATAGATAAAATAAAATAAAAATGAAATAAAATACACAAAAAAATGCATCCATTTTTATTTTATCTATGTTATTTTATTATATTATTTATATCTTATTGTTTTAGTTCATTTTATATATTTTGTTTTATTATTTTCTTATTTATTTGTTAATTTATCTAATATTTTTGTTTTAAATGTAAAAATGTTTGAACGTTCTGTCGTTTAAACGTTAAGTTTTTAAAAATACTTTCGAATTTTGATTATACCTGAAGATGGCCATTGTATTAGGTTGAAAATGTTAATGTTTTGATTAATAAACATATCTCAGCAAGAAAAGGTGTATTGATGTCTTATTATACATATATAACTTTTAACTTTCTGTTCTATTTTTTAAAAATGCATTCATTTATATTTGTGTTCTAACCTGAAGATGATCACTTAAAACAGAAGAAAATGTTTGTTTTTGTTTTTTTCTTGTGTTTTTGCTGGTTTATTGGTATTTGTCTAGTTGAGGTTATTTATATTAATTTGAATATTGTCAAAAATGTTTGAATTTTATTATTAAAGATTTTGTTTCCACTACAGTAGTTGTTAATCACTCAGCAGTGAGGGAAGTATATATATGTCCAAGGCAATTGTGTAGCATGGTGAGGGATGTATATATATGTCAAATTCTTTTGGGGCTATCGCCAAAAACTAGCAAAAAACTACAGCAAAAAAAATATTCACCTAAAATCTGAATTATGTAACGATAATTAAAGACTTTTCTTTACTAGACATAACTGTTCACAGTCTTTTTCTGAAACAGTAATGAAAAAAAATGCACAGAAAAATACTTTAAAAATTTTCCACGCCTATTCTCCACTACTGGGGGTAGAACCATACCTGATTACTCCACTGTTGAAAGGTAGGTTAACACCATTGTACATTTTCCCAGCCCTTTATAAACCCTAAATTTATTCCGCTATGTATCTAACATGGAAATTGCAGTGACATTAATGCTGAATTTTTTCCCATTGGGAAATTTTGGAACTGAACTTCTTATTTGTGAAATTGAAATTCTATGGCCAGGAAAGTATGCAAAACCAAATTAAATTGCTTTTAGTCTGATTAGTTCTTTTTATGCAGAGTTCTAAGCAATTCTTGTTTAATTATAACTGATCCTGTATATCAGAAATACAAATTATTTGAATTATGTAGTGGAGAAATACTTATGAAAATTTTTCATTTATAAAATTTAAAATTAATTCTTTATTTCTAGGTCATTCTATGGATTGATCATTCTTCCCAGGGATTTTGCTTCCTATTTGTTAGCAATATTCATCACCAATCTGCTGTTATATCTTGCTTTCTACATTATTATGAAGGTATATTAAGATTAATTTTTAAACATTTACTTAACTGGAAAGTCACCACAAAAATATGTTACAGAATATTATTATTAGAGCTCAGAATTTAAAGACAAAAATTTAATTTAATTGGGGAAAATTTGTTTGCAGAAAATTATCAACTTTGGGGATACTTGAGATAACAATATTTATTTAAAGAAACAATGTACAAATTAAGATAAACTGAAAACAAGTAAGTGTACATTGTTGGTTACAATGAGCACTTGTTTCTGTATAGCATTGTTTGATTATTTCTAGTGTATAAGAGATTACTTTAGTTATAAAATTACTGTGAATATATCCATTTATTTAATGGATATATTCCATTGCATAATGAGAGATTTGTTAATAGTACTGACAAGGGAAACTTTTGAATGCATACAAAAAGTAAATATTGTTTCAAGATCTATTGGATGTTTTTGTTTCTGGGAAGAAAAACCAGAAGAGAGGTTTATTTTTGTGTGTGGTCCCTCCAAGTGTAAAAAAATGGCCTCAATAATAATGACATATATTCATACACAAGTAGTACACACAATTTTCCTGACTATCATTGTAGTGATATCATAAACTTGTGATTTCTGTATGGATCTGTATAGTATTGATGGGTCAGAACACAATTTAACAACCGCCACAATAGACAGGCATAAAATATCACATCGGGTTGCACTATTTTTTTTATGGACAAAATAGCACAAAAATTGTGGTCATTTAATAAAATTTTGTCTTCATTGTTGAAAAACAGTTTTTTTTTTAATTTTTAGGCATGTTATGGAATTACAACATGTGGCTTGAATGATTTTTTTCTGATCATGTTATGCCATCTTTTTATGTTCATCAGGTTCTAAATTCAACAGAACTTCTACCAAATAAATGCATAAATTTTAATTACATGCAATCCAATAGTCAATGAGCTCCTTAATGATGATCCTAGAGAATCCATGTTGAATAGCTTGCACGGTAATAAAATGAAATTGCTGCATCCTTTCCTGTAGGTCAGAAGTGAGAGTATAGGCTGTATAGACCAAAGAGTTGAAGTTGCCCATCTCATCAAAGGAGTCATGAGAGAATGATGGTATGAAGAAGGAATGATAGCTAAACCCTTTTGATGACACACCCATTAACTAAATGTTTTTATGTAGGACATTAGTGCCTCTATCACTGTGCTGTTCAGAGTTTAGATGTATCTTGTATAGGTTGTTGAAATTCTCCAGTACTGGCTACATATCAATCCTGAACAATGCAGTGACAGAGGCACCCAATTTTAATTTGCAAAATTTGTCAGATGATCATTAATAAATAGCATTTCCTATAAACATAATGGAATAACTCATTAATTACACATTGCTTTTACAATAACATTGATAATGAGTAAGATTAATGTCAAATGATAATGATGAATTAAGCCTCGCATTGAATAATGTTAGAAGCACCAAAGTAGCATTTCCAGAAAGATGTGAAAAACTAGAAAACCCCTAAATTGAAGAGGATCAGTTGAAACAATGACTGATTTTAGTTAGAGATGTAGGAATGACATTACTGCAATAAATTGGGTCATTTTTATCATGAAATACTTTACAAAAGGACAATAAAGCATTCTGTGTAATGAAAAAAGTTGCACATGTCACATGCAATATTTTTCCTTACAACATTTTAAAAGTTTAATATATTTTGATTTCAAAACAAGGTTTTGCCTGTAAAGTACATATTTCTTTTGTTACCAATGTCTACTTCCTTATTTATGAAAGCATTTTATAAATTTTTTTATATGTTTTGGGTACTTAACAAAAAGATATACTAATGGAAAAACATTTCCTGTAATATAATAGCTCTTGCTAGCCAAACATGAAAATATCTTTAATGAAAGCACAGATCATCAAATGGAAAGTTATGCTTTATTTGGATTTAGTTAGTATTATTATTTTCATCATCAGACTTTAGAGTTTTATAAAAGTCTCTATTTTCTGGACTCTGAAATTTGCACATAGACAGTAGGTCCTTTTTGACACTTTTCATTGGGAGCAGCCTACTGTAAGCACAAGGCAGATTGATGTTCTGAGGTCATTAAAGTGATTCAGAACTTCCTGGTGTGCATGACTTCTCATTGACAACAGTAAGAAAAATGCATCTCATGGGGATGTCTTTTTTCTAATGACAATATGGTCTAAAATAAACAACACCTTTCATCAATCCAGCACAACTTTTAATACGTTAAAAACGTTTTTGATCGATTTAAGCGATCTTCTTCAGTTATTCTATCATTATAACGAACAAAGTATTCAAATTTATGAAATACAAAAATTCAAACCGTGGATGCACATGTTAAATGTAACACGCATATCCGTTCTCAATAAAATTACAATAAACATAAAAATGAAAAGTATAAACAAACTAATTAAAAATACATGAAAGTATACATCAAATAAATACTAAATAACTAATTAATAATGCTGTCTAAAGATGTATATGTTAATCCATGTTATCATAAAAGGACTTCCAGGCTGAGGACAAACTGTCGGCATCTCTGTGATTGATGCACTGTGTGGTCATTTGTGCTTTATGAATCTCCATTTTTTCCAGGTGTCTCACTGCTTGTGTGGATCTTGTAGCTTTAATAATTGCCGCTTGATCCCAGAATACTGTGATATCCTGCTGTTTTGCAAATGCAGCGAGGACCATACTATTAATGTTTATATTCACCGAGTGTTTATGCTCATCAATCCTTTTCTTCAAGTTCCACATAGTTGCTCCTATGTACACTAGGTCGGAGTTAAACCTATGGTCTTCTAAAGGTATAGAGCCAGGGTGGCCAAGCTCCTTGATAGTTTGAGCCATTTTTCAAAATTTGAAATTTTTCACGAGCCGCAATTAAATACGTATTAAAAAGGTATGTAAAAAAGGTATTAAAAATTTTTTTACAGAAATTGTATTTATTGAAAACATATAAATAAAAGTACAAAATATGTGTATTGAATTTAAATATTAGAAATTAAACATATTTATTTTACTTCTTTTGATAATTCTTTAAAATTTGGTGAATAATTGGTGACAGCACTTCTCGGTAATTTTTTCAGATGCTGGTTAGTTAACTTACAAAAATTCCAGATTACAAATTATATCCGTAGCAAGAGTGATACAAATTGTTTCCTCCAGAGCACAATGTCAACTGTCCGTTGCAATGACAGTTTACAAATTCAAAATTGGTCTGGAGTCAGTTGATAACGGACGATTACGCCACTGTTTATGTTCACTCGTGCAGTTTTCGATGAGTCATATCATTCTTAACTTGGACGGAAATGAAATTTGTTACAACGTTGCACTTAGTCTTTCATATTTGTTGTTAGTAATTTAAAAGACATTTTAAAACACATACGGAACAATAACAATTTTTTAAAATATAATAACACAAAAATGAAAAGGAAACTCGGGTACATTTATCGAGAGCCACAAATAATCCTTCAAAGAGCCACATGTGGCTCGCGAGCCGCAGGTTGGCCACCCCTGGTATAGAGTATACCCCTATCAGGCTATATTGCTTGTATCTTCTCTTATCATATTGTAACAGTCTGTACACAGTAGGATTACACCTATAAATTATTTGTAGATTCCTATATCTGGCAGCTTTCTTAATCATTTTGCTTAGAAACGGAAAGTAATTAAGCACAAGCCTTTCCCTTTGTTCAGCTCCTCATTGCTGTTGTGTTTGTTTCTGAAAATTTGTAATAAGTGTATCGACTACCCTTCGGTATCCTTGTTGTCCTCGGCCTGGAAGTCCTTTTATGATAACATGGATTAACATATACATCTTTAGACGGCATTATTAATTAATTATTTAGTATTTATTTGATGTATACTTTTCATGTATTTTTAATTAGTTTGTTTATACTTTTCATTTTTATGTTTATTGTAATTTTATTGAGAACGGATATGCATGTTACATTTAGCATGTGCATCCATGGTTAGAATTTTTGTATTTCATAAATTTGAATACTTTGTTCGTTATAACGATAGAATAACTGAAGAAGATCACTTAAATTGATCAAAGACATTTTTAACATATTAAAAGTTGTGCTGGATTGATGAAAGGTGTTATTTTTTTACATTATTTAATTAGTTCCAGTAAGCATTTGTTTATTTAATTAATGGCTACACTGGCCAAAGAAAAGTAGTTCTTAAACTATGCAAAGCAAGAACAAAGTTTGAATTCCTTACTCAATGCTGTCTTAAAGGGGTTTTCCCTATGTCGATTTATCGCATCAGACTACTGATGGGTTGTGACGACTTATTGCCGAAGTTAAAGTGTCTTTGCCTTTATAAGGCCATCAGAAATACAAGACAGCAATATTATTTGTTATTGCACAGTCTTATATAATTAGAAGATGAGATTTATAAGGAAGACCAGGCACTGTTGAAGGAGGTCAATGACAGAGTGCTTACATTATCTTGTTCGAAGGAAAGTAATTTAAAACATAAATATATTAAAAAGATTAAATGGTTGTTCAGATGCCTGAATGTTAGGCCATGCAAAAGGAAAACCATGATGATAACTGCTTGGGACAATATATCTCCACTTTAATTGAATCTTTGGAATATGGCCGTTTTATGCTCCTACTCCAACAGTACTTCCAGAAAATGTTGTCCCTAATATCGAGTGGCTCATAAAGGTTGTGAATAACACTATGCAGGATTACATTAGATGGCAAGCGAGATTCAGTGCAGAAAGGGAGAAACACGTTAACACGAATGCAAGGCGATTCAACAAATGCATAAAAGAAACAAGGGATTGGCTGCAAAGGAATGATATTGTACTCATAAAGGCAGATAAATCCAAGGGTATAGTGCTTTTCAAATGAGATTCATATAACCGGAAATTGCAAGAATACATCAACAACACAGAAACTTGGTATATATATTATATGGACCATGGGGAAAAGAAAAATGCAAAAAAAAATATTTAGTTCGAATTTTTACCACTAGGTGAAAAAATGGTGCACAAGAAACACAAAATGGAAACACGCAAAAGGTTTTTATTTACATTTGTTTAATGTGCAATCCATTTGCATCAATTACATATTCAAAATGCCTTACAATGCTGTAAGGCATTTTGAACACGTAAAGTCAAATAATTTCTGTTTTAATATTCAATCTACTATACAGGGGGTCCTGCAAAATGTCTGATGAGTTTTTGTAGAACACAGGGCCTTACAAAACTTGGGGCCAGGTTCCGCAAACGTGCTGAACCTGCCTCGTGCCAGCCCTGGGTTTAGAACTGTCTAAGCTGTTATGTCAGTCAGAACTGTTTGACTATTCAAATTGATGGCAAAAACTTTAATATGTATGCATTTGTGCAATATAACCATCAAATTCCTTAAGCCTCAATCAATGAGATGAATTAACAAACATGCAGTAACACAAATTAAGGAATTTAAATGATAACATTAGGCTGAAAAAGTTTTGTGTTTTTGCCAATTGATTGATAATTTGTAATGGCCATTATTTCATCTGAAAGTTTGACAAGCCAAACACCGTAGTCATATCTGTCTACAGTGTTTAAGTTGTAGTAATAATTGTTTTGACCATAAAACAGTAAATAATATATGTAATTTTTGTCTTTCAGTTACGTCACAAAGAGAAGATATTGCCCCCCTCATTGACTTACATTATTCTCTCTATGATTACTTGGGGTGCTGCTCTCTACTTTTTCTCCAAGAAGAACATTACTTGGCAGGTAAGTTGTAATTCAGTTTTTCTTCATCACATTGATGGTTAGATATTTTTCATGCAGCAAGTCTTGACCATCACCCTGGCTTAAAATTTTTATGTGGATTGGAATAAATTAGGTGAGATGCTACAGAACAGAGAGCTCAAATACATGAAATTGTTTGTTTAGCAATAGAATGGTTTTAGTAGCAGTTGATGTAATCTGGAAGAATATCATTGATTGAAATAGCAGACAAGCACTGAACAAAGAGATTCATCATTTTTATAGAAAGCATTTTTATAGAATTTCAGAAACATCCTTTACCATATTATATTTATTTGAACTTTTTTCCCTTTTAAAAATAAACATGGGAATAATTTTGATTAAAAGGCAGACATCCATTTTCTGTTATTTGTCATCAGTTTAAAGCAGCCAGTAACTTATTCACAAACTTCTTCTGACCAGAGCTGTGGAGTTGGAGTCGGGAGGAATTTCTGGCCAGAGGAGTCAGAGTTGGAAAAAATGTGTCGACTCTGACTCCTGCATTTTAAATTTACTTTTTTTTTGCTATTATTTTATTAGTAATTTACCTTCTTCAATTACAATGATCGTGCTGCTATAGTAACAATATTGTTATTGTAAAAGTAATTTTGCATGCTTCAATATAGATCCTGAGTTGATGCATTTAATAACATTGTTAGTAAATTTAATTAAATTAAAACACAGTTTACTCGTCATCACTAGCGAATTTTCTAAATTACCTCAGGTTATTACAAACACTTCATACGTGGATCAATGATTCAATCATGGAAATGAATTGCTGCATTTTTAAGCTTTTTAAAACTATTTTAAAGTANGTGAAATGGAAGTGCAAATGCTGTCAAATATATGTAGATGTAGAATTTTATTGCCCCTTTCTCCTCTTATTAAATATTTGTTAAAAATTAATTTTTTAATACAAATAAATATTATTGTAAGTTAAATATTAAAAATACTAACTATAAAAGTATTTGGGTAAATGTCCCAGGCTCCTTGCAGAGTTCAGAATTTTGTATCTCCCATGAGTGCCTCTGCCCTCCATAAAATGACTTGATATTTAATTTTGCTGGAGTTGGAGTCAGCCTACTAAAATTATCAGGAGTCGGAGTTGAGTGTTTTTTTACCGACTCCACAGCCCTGCTTCTGACTACTATTTTGACACATCCTAAAGGGTTTGGTCAGTTGATAAGAAACAAATAATTTTAAATGACATCTTTATTTTTGTTCAAGTAAAAGGAAAAGTCAAGTTTGTATAAAATTTGCAAATATTCTATCAATCAGAAACTTATGCACGAAACTTATGCACCCATGGTAACAGATGTGTTTTAATGTAACTTGCAAAATAAAGCCTCTGGCAGAAAATACTTTTTGGGCAGGCTCAACTGAGAAAAAATATTAAAATTCACAAAAGAAAAAAACTTACAAATATTTTTTGTAAAAAATATAAGACTCTGAAATATGAAGTGGGGTCACCGTTGACTCTATGGTAGTACTTGGGTTAATCACACTCCACTATAAGTTGGCCAGATCTGGCATATCAAAACTCAAAACATTGTCTCTCAGTTGATACAGGTTAATGCATACAAAGTGGGAACTGCATGCCAGCACATTTTAGGTACAGTACCTTCCAATGATGTATCCAACTGTCAATGTGTTTAAGTCAGAGAAGTTTTGTTCTTTTTGACTTTAATGGTTTGAATTGACCAAGACACTTCCCAGACACTGCAAAATGCATTTGTATTAATATAAGGAAATCAAAAATAATTTGAAGGGAAACAAAACTAGATATTTTTACAAAAGATGTCAATAGACAATATTTGTTAGTTTAATTAGGTTTTTGTTACTTTTCTCTGCACTATAATTAAAGTTTAATCTATTTAATTATTTTAGTACAAAATCAACCTGGAAGGGACAGTAGTGGCAAAGTTTGCTTCTTTCAAAGAGTAAATGAAGTGACATGCTGTCCTGAAAGGTTGGTAGTCCTTAAAGAATATAGAAGATTGGATTTCTACAAAAAAGGAAGCAAACAGAAAGGGGGCTTGATGAAAGGTCTAGTTCTTTATTATTTAAGAAAAGGAAATTTTCTTTCCTACTAGAAATGCCAAGAATTTGTTGGAATGTACAACCAAAGACTGGTTCATTGATCTACTCAGTTTTCTGTAATTTCCAAACCATTTATTCAAAATAGGACAATTAAAATGAATTTTCTTTACAGAAAAGTCCAGCACTGTCCAGGGAAAATAACAAGAAGTGTCTACTGGTGAATTTTTATGATGGTCATGATGTCTGGCACTTTCTTTCCAGTGCTGCCCTCTTCTTCTCTTTCATGGTGAGTGAATACTTTGGAAGTCAGCAAACTTTTGTTCTCAACTTATCAGACATTGTTGTTCAGTTAATTTTTTATCATAATGACTGCTAACTGATTGTTACAATGCAATAACTGATTGGTAATTCATATGAACACACTTGGATGCAGTGGCGTACCGTGGGTGTCAGCCGCCCAGGACAGAGGAAAATTTCGGCTCCCCCCTTTATGTAGGTATTTCAATTTAAAAGACCAAAATTCAGTTTTGTCACAGAACAAGCAATGAAAAATTCGGTGGTAGTGCAGCGACCTGTTTAAAATAGTTCTATCATACAATGAAAAAAAAAAAAGGGGTCTACAGAACGATAGCACTATCGTAGGCGCGATGCAAGTATAGATTAGGATGTTTCAAATTTTTACAAGATATTATTATTACTTATTGTAAAATTTTGCCACCCCCTAAAAAAAGTGCCACCCTGGGCGGGCTGCCCCTGCCGCCCACGTTACGGTACGCCACTGCTTGGATGCAAAGTGTGAGAACTTCTGATAGAACATGGTACAGTCAGTGAATTGCCCAAGTACTATGTTTCTTGAAGTTTCTCAAACATATTTGGCTTGTTCTATTTCACTGGTCGTATTTTCCATTCGAAAAAAGCTTTCATAAGACATGCAAAATAGTATCAAGCAAGGTTTTGAATAATATTTTCAAAAGTTGGCTAGTCATCAAAATATCTTGAGACACATAAATGAAAAATATTTTAAAAATCCTTTACAATTGGTAATTAACAAAATTTATGTTTTGAAGATGCAAATGCTTATTTCTGTAATGATTTTTAGGGAAAAAATCAAGAAAAAATACATGGAATAAGATGTAATTTGATAAAAATCAAAAAGAAATAAATTAAAATAATTATTTTGATTATAATAATAATCAAAATAAATTATTATTTTATACAGTAGCACTATTGGCATCCAGTCTTATTTGCTAGCTGTTCCACAGCACTATATCTTGTATCATTTCATTATCATTACTTTCTTTTTGTTTTTTGGTACTATTTAAGTCTATTCTTGTCATTATTCTTCATTTATTTTTAGTTTTCTTTTCCGATATAGTTCACTTATTTAATTATTGTACTAAGTGTCGTATTTAAAAGTAACTCAGTTCAAGTTGACCTTGCACTTTCTTGCATTTCATTTTTCCACTCCAGAAACACTTCCATATATTAATCCAAACAAAAACATATGAGATGTAAAAAAATTTTGCCAAGTAAAAATTTATGACAATTTAGATGACATTCAAAATTTTTCTTTGGTGTTTTCCTTTGGTAAAGATAAGCTTGGCACTTGGAGGCAAAATGTAGAAAACAATAATACAGGCAAAAAATCTTGTGAGTACCGCTTCCAAACTTTGATCTGTCGACCTGGAAGTTTTGCGAGTACCTCACTGATAACGAGAAAGGCTTCTTTAAAATTTGAAGATTCAGTAGTTTTTCTCTATGAGTATTTACAGTGCCAGATGAAGAAAAAGGAGGAGAAGAAAATACAGCGTTTTTGGTGATTTTTGCACTTTTTAATTTTTTATTTTTGAAAACTGCTTTATAGAAAATCTTGAAATTTTGCACACTACCTAAGGAAACAATTTATGTTCGAACGAGATATTTGGAAAATACTTCAGGTGTTTGGTGATGCAGAAAAATCAACCCTCAAAAATTGGCAACTTTGAATCCTTTATATGTAGTTGGTCAGTGAGTTTTTTACTTAGCGGGGAGTCACTGCCTTGACTCCTGATTACCTCTATTTATTTATGAACTCGTAAGCTTTGAAAACGTGGTTATTATTAGTGCAAAAGCTGTATACATATATAAAATGGATAAAGTTTTATTCAATATATAACTAGTATTTCTAGATATCACTGTAAAATGATCCCTTCATACCAAAGTATATAAGTAATTTACTGATGAATCTTATCAATGGCAACCATTAGCGTAGCAGAAGGGTGAATGTAAAGAGCCTCAATTTACTGATCTCCTCTAGATGTGCAGACCACATAGAACGATCACCATCTGATAATATTTTCTTCCCTTATTCTGCATTTAGTTCAAGAGGCTTTGTGGGTAATAAGTACAATAAATGCAACCAACCTGATAATTACTTAAAATATCAAGCAAACAGCCAAATTCCTTTACTGGCTATTAAGGCTAAATACTTTATTGAGTTATTAAAGGCTAAATAATTACAAAGGAATTTGGCTGCTGTTTGATATTTGTGGGTAATTTGAATCATTCAAACCTTGCTTGATACTATTTGCATGTTTTATGGAACCTTTTTTGTGGAAAATATGACCAGTGCAATAGAACAAACCAAATGTGACAGTCTCGTTTGAGCAACTTGAAGAAACATAGCACTTGGTCAGTTCCCAGACTGCACCATGTTCTATTAGAAGTTCTCAAACTTTGCATCCAATAAGTGTGTTCATATTAGTTTGCCACCTTTTCAAAATTGCTGACCCAGACATTTTAAAATTAAGGTGTTATACTTAGAAATAAAAAAAAATTAGGTTTTTTAATTATGAGTAGAAAAGAAATATTTTTTTTTTTATTAGAACGTAAGCATGTACCGTACATGATATATTAAAATAATAAAATAATCACATGTGGCATATCCAAAAATAATTAATAACAGTCCGATGTCGATATTAATTGCAAAAATAATACATAAAGGTAAGAATAATAAATAATAACACATACCAACATGAATATTAAGTTACAAAAGATACATACGAGGCGTGAGCAATGTCATTTTACAGCCAAGAACTGAACAATGCACATGCCAGTTTTAAATCAGTTAGGGATTTGTGTTGGAACAAACTGAATATTTGCAAGTTAAAATTTTAAAAGTACATTTTCTATCACTCTTAGCCTAGCAATAAGATGGGGATAAGTTTGGGTGGGGGTGTGAAGTTAGTTTTTAACCGTTAAACTAAAATATTCACAAATATTTTTTTAAATTTATTTTCTTTAATCGTAATTTCACAATTTCTACGAAAACCGGGCCATGAATTTAAAAAACTGGCTTGGTGGCAACATCAGTTCATATGAATTACTATTCAGGTTATTGCATTGTAATAATCCAATTTGAATGGTTAGTTATTATGATGAAAAATTAATTGAACAACAACGTCTGATAAGTCAAGAATCGCAAGAAAATGATTTATTAGTGTTTTAACAGAGGTAAAGCCGGTTCAAGACACAAATATAAAAAATGGGTTACAGAGTTACAGTATCAATAACCAGGGATGAATTCTCTGGGCTTACTTAACATGCGCCACATGCTTAAGAGAAAGTTTTGACTGTCAATATATTTTTTATATGAGAATATGCCATAAATTTATTCTAATGTGTAAAACTCTTTTATCCTTTGTGTTTGCTTTTACATTGACAGCTAGTGGCTAGCCGTTTTAAGTAAGTGCGATGCTTGCGGGAACTAGATTGCTCGCTTGTGTGGAGGTTTGCTGCAGCAAACAAGTGCGCATGCATGACGCCATTGGAAGGATTTAACACGGCCAGATTGTATCGAAAGTTTGTGGTACCCAGTCAGCGTACATGTATTGTGTTTAGGGGCGGATCTACATAGGGACTAATAGGGCTTAAGCCCTGGACACCCATTGTCAAGGGCCCACAAAAATTGAATTATCATCATAAATTTTTAATATCTTTTCATTATATATTTCATAGGTATGGATTTGTGTTTTNTTGAATTATCATCATAAATTTTTAATATCTTTTCATTATATATTTCATATATTTTATCTGTAGATATAATGGGCTTTATAATAGTCCATACGTTTTTATTCACACCAAATAACATTTCTACGTATTGTTTAGTGCTAGAGATAGGCCTATTATTATAACTTTCAGCATGCCCAAAAATTTTGGTTAGGGTTCGCCAGTGGCATAGCGAGGGGGGTGCAAGGGGATGTATCATGCACCGGGTGCCACTCGCAGAGGGGCGCCCAACTGGTCTCCAAGACAAACTAAACGTGTTTCTGGGGGGTAGGGGGTGCCAATAAAGTGTCGTGCCCTGGGCGCCAGTTATGTTCGCTACGCCACTGGGATTTGCTCCTGTCAATAACTGACAAAATATTATGCAGTACACTATAAATTAATGTAATCATAGTATGGCTTTGCCGAGAGGAATAGCCGTTGCAGAATTTTGGGATTGGTACAGAAAGTGCAGAGAAGCCAGGAACAGACATGGGGAAAAGGGCATGTTTTGTACTTTGTGGGTAAAAATTATACATTACTCCGAATTTTGAAAAAAAGGTGTTAAAACTAAATATTATAAAAACGTGGTAACACTGCTGAAGTGAATTCATATTAGAGGCAAAAGAATTTTTTCTGATTGTGGATAAAACCACTGGAACACCGGTAGTCAGTCGCACGTTTGCGCCCGACCAATGGATGGGCCACGTGAAGTTTTCCAGATTTTCTTCACGTTTGTAACATCTAAATAAGAACCAGTTTCCCATTAAAGTCTTCCCTACAGACAACCTAGCCGTCGCGTCGTCGTAACCAAATAAATTATACTCAGGCGAGCCCTTGGGGTTATCACCCCACAAAAACTCTTTGTTTATAGAAACAAAGATCTAAACTTTGTGTGTACAGGGTCGTTAGCAAAAATAGAACACGACAATAAAATGACACAAAACATAGCTGCTTAGCGATTCTTAGCATGACGATAAGTGAGAATGAAATGTTTTTAACAGAACTCAAACAACAAGAAATCCGAAGACATAGTCGATATTTTAGTGGTCTTTTTGATATCGATTATTTGGTATCGAGAATTCCGATTAGTCATTCGATTATTATTCGATTCGCCAAATCCAAAATCGGTCATCCTTAGTAAGAACAGACATTTAGCTGTACCATGCGGTGGGAAATGTCGCGTCCTTTTTATATAGCGTAGTTCTGACGACTATCTTTCTCGGCATTAGTATCGAGTTTACTTAGTATTTAAATACAGTA